AAGATCACTTACTACATTACAAATGAAATTCAACTTTATTAACTTTAGCTTTAAGAACCGATTTTACTCACCAGGTTTTGTAAGTTGACTCAGAGGTGTGACAAAGTGAAATCACGTTTATTGATGTAGGATCAAGGTTGAAGTTTGCTTGTTTCTCGATGCAATTAGTAAAGCATGACTCATTGTATTGTCGAGACAAAATCAGCTTTGTAACTTTGGCTATAAGAATGAGTTTAACTTAATAGTACCAATTAATGCTAATTGGTAGGTACATAGATTTGTGAAGGTGATTCAGTATTTAATTGTATTATTAGAAGTATAAAACAATACACTGTTTTATGTGACTACAAATTGGATTGTGGACTTTAAAAACTGCGTATTAAGGTTCACTTTTTGTAGGGCGTAAATTAAAGCAACTATGAGTAATGAATTACTAAGGTAAATAAGGAAAAGAATTGGTATTTACTTACATATATTGTTACTACATAACATAACATAACATCAGGCATTTTATCCACGAAAGGGTAGGCAGAGGTGTACAAGCCACTGTACAATGTAACACCCAGTTTAGCCTGAAGACCCTGAGTTACACCACTCTTGGCCTCCACTTCGATGAATTTACCACGGGGCTCCATCGGTGTATAGTTACGCCACTGTCGACACACCTCTTTCGCTTTAACCCTTTGAGTACCGTCATTATAGACACAATTAAAGAACAATAGGTTGCGGTCACCGGTGTCCTCGCGGTGTTTGGCAGTTTAAGCCAAGGATATTAATTTGTCCCCTAATATTATTATGGAACAAATATCCTGCGACACGTGTCGCCAGCGACGTCGTGTGAAGTAGCGCGACGTTGCCGGACTTTGGTCGACATGCCTGTCAACATCGACGTCACTGTGGATATAAGTTGGGCATTGTCACCGTATAATGTCAGGCGACATCGGACATCGCTCGACATGTTGCCGATACATGTCTTGGATCATTTATCCCCGGTTGTATTCTTAGTTTTATCCACATTCGTGAATCTCTGTAATCAGCAGCTGTAGCCAAATGCCATTTAGCGCTTGTCTACATGTAGAATAGAAAACCAAATTATATGGAATTGACGTATATTTTGACACTTGTCAGTGTCATCCCCATTCATTTAGTTCTCTACTCTCTCTGTAGACAAGCGCTTAAGTGGCGTTTGGCTAAAGGCACTGGTTCGGCTAGCTAAGTACCAAAATGTTTGGGAAAATAAAACATTGCATTAAAAATAAATAAGTTTTATTTGATTATATACCTATACTTATATTAAATACAATTTATGTTCATAACATTGATAAACCTTTCTTTCTAAGTATTATTCATATCTTATTAAATTATATTAAGAGTCTTCATAAGTAAAAAATATCATGAGAATGTACAAGATTCATAATATACCTGATTATTTAGGTAGGTATGTATGTTATAACAGATTTTAGCTGCAGCATAAAACTAACTCAACTATCTTTACTTTACGAATTATAAAAATAAGGTCTTCTCACTTCTGTCATGTCGATCTGTTGTTTTCATACAACTTTTACCATAAGATATAGTGTGATTTGTAGGAAAAGTTTCGGTGTATAATATATATTGATTTTGTCTCTTTATGCATTAACCATTCAACCAATCTTCTCCAATTATTTCATACATTAAGCTAGTTTCAGTTTAAAAAAATAAACATCTAAATATAGTGCCATAACGATTATATCTTGAACCAGGAATGTTTGAACTTGATAACTCAATTCTTCCATTTTATTGACTGCAAATAAAAAATACGGTATATCAGTATATTGATACATAAACAGCTTGTTTGCAATTTGCAAGAGTTCCACTGATTCCAGTATGATTTCAAAATGGCGTTGACCTTTTTTACGGGCATAAGAAGCCACTCATGGACACCCAAAACTCCAAAGGATTTCCTAGTGCGTTGCCGGTACCGGCAAATTTATTGGGCATGTAGTGTGAATTAGGCCTTCGGTAACCTACAGATGCATTATATCTGAGAATATTCTCAGCATTATTATCTTAGTATTGGTATATTCTCTATAAAAAAAATTCTCAGTAGTAGCACGGAGTCTGGAGATGTGCCCGGTATATGGCAATAGGCTCATCCCCTTTTACATGGGACTCGTAACATAAATAGTGAAAATTGGGTTACATGGTATAGTGATATTAAGTGTCGTAATGTGCACCTCTGCCAACCCCTTCAGGGATAAAAGGCGTGATGTTATGTTATTATATTCCTCGGACAGTGGAGTCCATGGTCATGGTGAAATTAACTTTAAACTCAATACTTTTACTGCCATTACTTATTCAATATTAATCATATACTTATACTTACAATTATACAGGGTTACAGGTTAAGTCGACCTAGATCCTTTAAGGGGTTTTAGTTTTCATCATTCCTAGCTGATTTGACCATGAAACACCCCACCCCAAACCAACCCATACTGAGATATTGGATTTTGATTATTTTTAAATAAAATTAAGATTTTTTGTATAATTGACCCTTTTTTTGATTTTGTGTCACTAATTCATAGTGTTTTTGCTATTTTTGTGTAGCAGATTAGTTTGTTTATTATTCTCAACACAAAAAAGCAGGTAACTGAACCAACTGGGTAATAGTCGATGATTGAAAGATTAAAAACTAAACAAATTTGTATAAACATTTTTTTTCTTTTAAGAATATTTCAAAAAAAGTCTATGACAGTTATGCTGCAGATATGATGATACTAAATAAAATCTACGTTTCTTTAGCTATCCAACAAGGTATAACAAGCTAGGGTATTATCACAGTTCTTAGAAAAAACTTTCATAAAAGGGTCCCAGGTAGTAGCAAAAAATTACGGTACTATTGTCCTTCGATGGAGCTGTGGTGGCTGTGGTGCGTGCAAGCAGGACGGTTTATGTAGGTGTGAGCGAGATAGATAATTTTCGGCCATTTTGTTGTTATTCTGTTTGGTTTTAGTAGTCTGCTTACGCGATTCGTCCGTAGTAGATGTGATACTTGTGCTCTTGGATTCTTACTCGACTTGGCTTGTGTTTCTGGACTGTTTCCCCTTCGATTTGTGACTGTGCTTGTTAACTGGACTTTGATACGTGCTTCTGATTTGGAACTGTTGACGATGACGACCTTCACGAACGAGGAATATGCGGATATTTTAATTTGTTACGGGTACTGCAACTGTATATCCGCGCGAGCTCGGGATGAATACATTGCACGTTATCCCGGGCGCCGAGTACCGGATGTCAGTGTCTTTGACGGAGTGTACCGGCGACTAAGAGAGACTGGCTCTGTTTCGAGGCGACGATCAGACCTAGGCAGACCTCGTGTCAATGATGACGATGAAGAGCAAGACAATGAAATAGTACAACGGTTTAGATCGGATCCAACTACTTCCACTAATATTGTTGCCCGAGAACTTGGAATATCGCAGTGGAAAGTGTGGTTTACAGTGAATACTGCAGGCCTTTATCCATACCATTACACGCCGGTACATGTTATCGAAGAAGGAGATCCCGTGAGGAGATTAGATTTCTGCAGATTCATGCTCAACGCAGATTTAGAAAACCCAGCATTTTTAAAACACATCTTGTGGACAGATGAGTCAAAATTTGATAAAGACGGCATCACCAATTACCACAACGCTCATTATTGGGCTTCAAAAGAAAACAGAAATCCCAATAAGAAGCGACCAAAGGGATCACAGAGACGGTTCAGTTTGAATGTCTGGATGGGAATAATCTCAAACTATTTGATTGGGCCACATTTTCTACCTGACAATTTAAATGGGGAAGATTATGAAAACTTTTTAAGAAATGATTTACCCGAATCACTGGAAGATTTACCCCTCAGTTTAAATGATAATAATATGTGGTATTAACATGACGGTTGCCCTGCACACTACAGAAGAAGCGTCAGAGAGTGGCTAGACACTAATTACCCGAACAAATGGATTGGAAGAGGTGGACCCATACCGTGGCCAGCCCGAAGTCCCGACCTGACCCCCATGGATTTTTATTTGTGGGGCCATATGAAAAGCTTAGTTTACAATGAACCTCATCCGATCTCATCTGTTGATGTTTTATGACAGAAAATTATTGATGCGGCTAACGAAATTAGAAGAGGCTTAACGACTGGTGTGGTTAAAAGTGGACTAAGGCATAGAATGCGAATATGTGCGCGGAACAGAGGCGGACATGTGGAACATGTATTGTAAAAAATAATAATAAACGTTGTTTAAGCTATTTACTTTGTTTTATTTCGTTTGCTGGCCCAAGTGATAACTTTGTCCTTAAGTACAGTTATGTTTTACTACTGCCTGAGAGTATTACATCAGAATTTTTTTTCTGAATATCATGATGATACCCTAGCTTGTTATACCTTGTTGGATAGCTAAAGAAACGTAGATTTTATTTAGTACATCTGCAGCATAACTGTCATAGACTTTTTTTGAAATATTCTTAAAAGAAAAAAAAATGTTTATACAAATTTGTTTAGTTTTTAATCTTTCAATCATCGACTATTACCCAGTTGGTTCAGTTACCTGCTTTTTTGTGTTGAGAGTAATAAACAAACTAATCTACTACACAAAAATAGCAAAAACACTATGAATTAGTGACACAAAATCCGAAAAAAGGGTCAATTATACAAAAAATCTTAATTTTATTTAAAAATAATCAAAATCCAATATCTCAGTATGGGTTGGTTTGGGGTGGGGTGTTTCATGGTCAAATCAGCTAGGAATGATGAAAACTAAAACCCCTTAAAGGATCTAGGTCGACTTAACCTGTAACCCTGTATAAAGCGGAATAGTTTGTTTGTTTGAACGCGCTAATCTCCGTAGCCACAAGTCTGATTTGAATATTTTTTTTTGTGTTGGATAGTGCATTTATGGAGGATGGCTATAGGCTATAAAACATCATGCTACGACCAATAGGAGCTGAGCAGAGCGTGTGAAACCGCGCGGAAGTAGCTAGTTCAGTATATTACTTACATTATCTCTAAGAGTATTCTCAGCGAGTATATATTCTTCGGACTGGGGGTTCAAGGTCATCTTGTAGTTGGTGAGCGCTGTTCTATCTTTCTGCTTCGCTAGGGTCTCTATTACAACTGCATGGATCTGTAAAATACATAAAATAGAATAAATATACGTAATACTATTACGGTAATAGGATACTATATTGATGCTTTGTAATTTTAGAATTTGTGTATTGATGTATTTTTACTGGTGCTATGCTTGTAAGCAGGAGATGAATGGCCAAGATCGCTTATAGCAAGGGAATTTTAGGTGCTTATAAGATTTCAGCAAATTTCATGTACATTTGATGATGAGGTTACCAGAGGAACAATTATCCCCCTCCCTAGTCCCCGTGTCCTGAATCCCCGAATCCTCCACAATTCTCAAATTCCCAATTCCCAAAAGGCCGGTAACGCACTTGTAACGCCTTGGTGTTTCGAGTGTCCATGGGCGGCGCCGATTGCTTACCATCAGGTGATCCGTCTAATCGTTTACCGGCTTATACTATAAAAAAAATATATGATAACGTTTGATTTGTTTCACCAAGATTAGTAGTAACAGCTCACAGACTCAGATCTGGACACATTCCATGCAACAAATTCGTGTTTATGATGAAAAAAATACTTCGCTCAATTATGAAGTGTGGGAGCTTTCGAGGACATGCATCACTCGTTGATGGAATGTGTTCGATATGAGACTGGTAGGAATAGGTTTGCCGGGGACTTAAAGTGGAACAAGAAAGATAAAGGTACATTCCATGAAATACTAAATAATCAGAGTACTGCTAGTGCGAGAATATTGTTCAACGTTATGGCTCTGATTCATTGATATCTAGTTGATATAATATATATAGTACATTATTAGGCTACGATGGAGCTGACATACGCTGTGCCGTATAAAAGTCCCTAAAATTAAAAATGGAAATAAGAAAGAAATGGGTTTGACTACACATCTGACAGTGACAAAGTTGAATCTGTTGAACTGCAATCTCAAACTTGGGGATTATGGCAACCCTAATGTACGGTCAAAGGTCAAAAGTCCACAGCCACCGTGAGACTACTATCGGTTGCGCTGCAGCGCTTACACACACATGCACATGCACACGTATATGTTTATCCGTGTACGTACACACGCGTCTGTTTATGCGTACGCACGCGTTTTTATGCACATTAATATGAAATTACTTACGCATTGCCGTGTGAACATCACTCACTGTGGCAGTGGACTTTTGACCTTTGACTGTACGAGGCGTTTCGTCCAGCAGTGGTGGTGTTATCGTTTATATGGAAGTAGTTAAACAATATTACCTTATACATATGCGCGAGTCGCAGCCTGTCGTCACTGTTGGCGACTTTGTTGACGCATGTGGCGAGTAGTTGCTTGCTGGCCTGCAACTGACTGAGGCGGGACAGGAGTGTCTCTATTGGGATGTTCGACGATATTGTTGTGCGACCGAACCAGTCCTGTAGTGGATAGAAAATGACATTAATTAACATTTTAGTATCGTTACATAATACTAGCGTGAGTATAGTGATGGGACGAGACCGCTATTACACGGGACTCATAACATGAATAGTGAAAAATGGGTCTTACATTGGACAGTGACATTAAGTGCCGTTATGTGCACCTTTGCCTACCGATTCGGATAAAAGGCGTGATATTAGGGCGTGATATTAAGGCGACATAAATTCTTTTATTTGCATTAAAAATATAAATTTACAGTTTTAATACTAAATATTTAGATATAATAATTTTAATAATCATAATATAATTTAATAATTTAATATAAGTAATAATTTTAATAAACATCTGATGTGATATGCAAGTTTAAAATCAAGAAATTTGTACCACCTGCTGCCACTTCGACAAGTCACTGTTATATATTACGTTCACTCTCATCACTTCACTGCAAGCACGAAATAGTCACTATGCCACGGCTAGATGATGTCCTTTCCGTCGCCAGAACAATGGAGGAGAAACTGTTGGCAGGGATGGGGGAGCTGCAGGCTCAGATGGAGTGTGCAAGCTCTGCTAAAGACACGGTGGCGAAGTTGGCTGACGAGTTCCGTACATTCCGTGTTTTGGTGTACAAAATGCTGGGACTGCTCCAAAACCAGATTGCTGAGTGTTCCAAGCAAAATGATTTGACAGAAACAAGACACAGACGGAAGGCTCTTGTCATTAATGGAGTTGCAGAGGCTGACAATGAAGACTGCAGCAAGATGATGCTTGATCTCTTTAAACGGAAGCTGGACCTCAACCTTCAATCATCATCTATAAAATCTTGCCAGAGGCTCGGTAGTGCGAAGAAAGGTCACAACCGGCCTATACTCATCCGTTTTGATTCTACGGGCACAAAGGCATCGGTGTGGAAGGTTAAGACCAAACTGAAGGGTACTCCGGTTTCAATGAAGGAGTTTCTGACCCGTGGCAGGCAGACAGTGTTTGGCAGGGCACGGCAGCACTTTGGTATGAGGTTCTGTTGGACTCAGGACTGCATCATAAATATCAAGACTGCTGATGGGAAACGTCATAAAATCTCTTCCATGGATGAGCTCAGTCCTTTGATTGAGAAGTATCCTAAGCTGTTGCCTGTGTCTACATCAACAAGTAGGAGTAAGGTGGAGGATGCAGGGAATCTGAAACAGAACAAGTAATTAATGGCAGACTGCAAGGTAATGTTTCATAATGTAATGTTTCATAATTTGTACTGTCCATGTCATGCTTATTGTAACTTAACTTACTTGTGGGTAGATTCCTTCATTCCATTTTCCATATTATATACTACTCTCACGATAAGAATTTAATTTATCATTCATATCATAGCTTGTAGCTGGTGCCATTTTAACCTTGTTCCATCTCTTACATTTGTATCATCCCTTTATTTCATTTGGTTTGTCTTTATCACTGAATACGCAATCATATTATTTTTCATAACATTGTCGTCAGTTCATCACAAAGCATGTTGATTGTTGTGTGTGTAGTTTGACAGTTCATTTTAGCATCCATCAATATGTCACTTGTCAGTGTTGTTGGCTTGTGACAGTGACAGTCGCTATTTTAGATGCGTTCGGAAATGGTACCAGAGTAATTAGTAAAATATTGTTTTATTCATTTTTTCTATCATGTTGTGATTTTTTTTTTTTATTTTGCTTTTGTATTGTCTTAATTTTTGTTAATGTCGATGTCGGCCGGCGGGTGGTGCTGGGTTAGGTGATTGGAATAATTTTTAGTTCATTGATATTTATGTATTTAGCTTTTTAAAATCAATTTAATATTTACATATTCTTATTATTTATATTTATTTATATACACAGTTTTTAATTTATTATGTCAGATAGTGATTCTTTTGTTTCCGCTAATGATGATGCCTCTAATAGTGATAGTTTTTGCTCGTTGGGTGCTACTCTTGCAGACTTCATCGATCGCTCTTTTTCCGACAAGAGCGACAGATTTTTCAATGTTTGCCACATAAACGCACAGAGTGTTCCCAGTCACTACAGTGACCTCTATGATGCGTTTAACAATGGCAATGTTCATGCCATTCTGATTTCCGAAACCTGGCTCAAACCTCAACTCTTATCAACCACTTACCCCCTTACTGGTTACGTTCTTCTTCGGAATGATCGGATTGTAAGACGGGGAGGTGGAGTGGCAATTTACCTCCGTAGTAACTTTCCTCACAGAATACTCTTGTCATCGTCTCCAAATTCTCCTGCGGAATATTTATTTCTAGAGGTTTGTGTCCGGGGGGTTAAAATGGTCCTGGGTGTAATTTACTGCCCTCCAACTAATGACTACTTCACTGAATTCGAGTCAGTTCTAGAATCTTTGGGTTCCGAGTACGAACATCACGTGATCATGGGTGATTTTAATACCGATCTCCTTCTACCAAACTCCTCTAGATCTAATAAGCTCCTTCATCTTATCGAGTCAGCGAGTCTTCACATCTTACCGCTGAATGCTACTCATCACAATACTGTTGCTGATGACTCTTGGCTCGATCTTATACTCACTTCGAATCCTTCCTTGGTTCCCTTTCATGGTCAGCACGACGCTCCCGGATTTTCCCATCATGACCTTATTTACCTATCCTATGCCCTCAAACCACCCAAGGTGAAACCCAAGGTTCTGTACAGGCGCTGTTTTGCGGGGATGGATGGGGAGAGACTTCGGGGTGATGCATCGACACTCGATTGGGGGCCGCTTTTTGAGGTAGATACGGTTGATGAGAAGATAGCGATTTTTAATGCGTCTGTCATTGGTCTCTACGACCATCATGCACCCATCAGAAGGATCAAAGTTAGGCGTCCACCGGCGCCTTGGGTGACCACAGAAGTGCAAATGGCAAAGCGTCGAAGAGACCGCGCGTTCCGCAGGCATAAGAGAAATCGTACTGACGAGAACTGGGAGGCTTTCAAAATTGCGAGAAACAGATGTAACCAAATGGTACGTAACGCTAAGCGCCGTCATATTCTCAATAATATTTCTTGTTCATCTCCTGCCAATATCTGGAAATTTTTCCGGACTCTTGGTATTGGTAAACCGCAGAATTCACACCTGTCTATCGCAATTGGTTTAGATGACCTTAACCAACATTTCTCCACTGTTCCTACTCTAGATCATCTTACCAGACTAAACACCTTGTCTTTTATCAGTGGTCTGACGCGTCCCAACATAAACAATTTCTGTTTCATTCCAGCTGATGCGACGGAGATTCGTAAGATTATCCTTTCCATTAAATCAAAAGCTGTGGGTTGTGACTCCTTATCCCGAGATATGATCACATATATCCTAGACCACGTGCTGTCACCGATTACTCATATTATAAATTTCTCCATGTTCTCCGGTGTATTTCCAGCAGTTTGGCGTAAAGCTTTTGTTCGACCCTTACCTAAGGTTAGTACTCCCACTCTGCCGACCCACTTCCGTCCTATCTCAATCCTTCCCTTCCTATCTAAGGTGCTGGAGGCCTGTGTCCATAAACAATTGTCTCACTTTGTTTACAATCATAGCTTAATAAGCCCGTTGCAATCTGGGTTTCGACCTGGCCACAGCACTATAACTTCCCTCCTTAAAGTGACTGGCGATGTTAGGGCTGGTATGGAGGATACCAAAGTAACACTTTTGGTATTGGTTGATTTTTCCAACGCGTTTAATATGGTCAGTCACGATATCCTTTTGGCAATCCTATCCCATCTTGCGATCTCTGGCAAATCACTGGAATGGTTCTCTTCATACCTTCGGGAGCGTCAGCAGTCTGTCCAGTATGATGAGAAGTTCTCTGACTGGTGTGACTTGACGGCAGGCGTTCCTCAGGGCGGCATCCTTTCTCCACTTCTTTTCTCTATTTTTATCAACCTTATCACTCCTGAACTTCAGTGTGCGTACCATTTGTATGCGGACGACTTGCAGCTGTACCGTCAATCTGTGGTGGACGATCTGCCCAGTGCTATCTGTAAACTTAATAGTGATCTAACAGCTGTTCAAAATTGGTCAGAGAGGTTTGGCATAGCTGTAAACCCAAACAAGTGCCAGGCCATAATCATAGGTAGCTCTCGGAATCTTGGATCGATTGACGGTGCAGCACTGCCCCCTATCTCGTATAATGGTGTGACCGTTCCGTTCAGTCGGGACGTGAAGGATCTGGGCCTGATTATTGACAGTACATTGAGCTGGCGTGCTCAGGTCACAAGTGTTTGCCAAAGGGTGACTGGATCGTTGCGGGCTCTGTATCGTCTGAGGAACTTTCTTCCGTCCTCTGTGAAGGCGCAGCTTGTGCAGACCTTGATTTTCCCATTATTGATTACGCTGATGTCTGTTATTACGACCTGAATGCAGATCTACTCAATAAGTTAGACCGACTTCTAAATAACTGCATTCGATTCGTTTTCAACTTACGTAAATATGATCATATTTCTGCACATAGGATGCAACTGAAGTGGCTGCCCATACGCTTGCGCAGGCAGCAGAGGGCATTAACCACTTTATTCTCTTATCTTGACTCTCCTTCTTCACCTACTTACCTTGCTTCTTACTTCCAATATACGTGCGCAAACCACACAAAATTTCTTCGTTCGTCTCAAAACCGACATCTTCAATGTATCTCTCATCGCACTGACTTCTTTCATTCTTCCTTTTTCATTCAAGCTGTTATTCTGTGGAATGCGTTGCCCAAGGAGATCAGAATGGCAACAAGTCGCAATACCTTTAAATTTAAAGTCCGTGAGCAACTATTTAAGCATTGGCAGACTCAAAATAATTAAGGAAACTATTCGAACAACGTTTTCTTTTTTTTTTTTATATAATATATTGTAGTATTTATGCAGTATAAGTATTTGTTTAGTAGTATATATTATATGGTATGTATATATCTATTTATAAAATATTGTATTAATATATTTATTCTATAGGTATTTATGTGTGTAGTATACATATTACATAACTTTTTTTTTTTTTTTTGATTGTGTTCTGGCTTCGCGACCACTTCATTTCTCTGCACTTCCCTATGGTTGACTGTAAGAGAATGCCTTAAGGCATTAAGTCCGCCATTCACGGTATTTTGTGAAGAAGAAATAAATAAATAAATATTACTCTCACATTTCGTACATATATACGTACAATACACAATCTCGTATAAAATTCATAGAAAACTGTCGTTTTTGACAGTTTAAAAAACTATTGAATTTGACTAGTTGGCAAGTACCGAATTAAATGATTACCTTTTTAGTAAATAATGATTCCACGATGTCCCATTTGCCGGATTTAGCGTGCACGTTCAACACAACCCAATCGTATTGTAGCGGAGTTATCTGAAATAATAACAATACAAAGCTACTACTACCGCCTTACAGTAAAAAATGTGTGAACATTGTAGTTTTTATTTTACTAGTTCTCTACTAGTTTCGAACCACACAGGGGTTCTTCGCCATGAGCAGCGTGCGCGGTCGCGGCGAGGTCGCCGCGACCGCGCGATTCGAAACTAGTAGAGGTTTTCTCAGTATATTCGCGTGAGTAACCCGCGATTTTACTTAATTTAGTTTTTATTTTAATTACTAAGAGATGCCTTAACATGATTTTATCATCACTACAACTCTAGTAATATTATTATGGTGTATTAGTAAACAGTATACCTGATGCCGTTGACACAGGGTGAGTGGCGACATGGCATTCCCGGCCCCCTCGTGCCAGTGGTGCGTGCAGTTGTACGCCAGACACTGAATCACTGACTTGTAGCTCAACTCTGGCTTGTTCACGTGTTTCTGCCATTCTGGAGAAAATACGTAATTAAACATAAACATAACATCACGCCTTTTATCACCGAAGGGATAGGCAGAGGTACATATCACGGCACTTAATGCCACTGTACAATGTAAGACCCACTTTTCACTATTTATGTAATGAGTCCCATGTAATAGGGGGTGAGCCTATTGCCATATACCGGGTACATTTCCAGACTCCGCGCTACTACTGAGATTTTTTAAAACCCAGTAATACTTACTTTGCCTGAGCCGGGAATCAAACCCGAGACCCCCGAGAGCAGTCGCATTTGCGACCACTCGGCCAACGAGGCAGTACAGTAGAACAGTAGAGAAAAAAACCATATTTTATAACCGGAACAACATTCAAGATATATTATTTATCTATTTTGACCAACACAGGAATTAAATAATGGATTCCTTACCTAACAATTTAATATAGTCAGCAATCATCTTGGCTTGGTGTTGGTCGACACCGGGCTGGTTGAAATGGTTGGCCAACAAGTTGCCCAACTTTCTTAGCAACACATCTACATTGTTGCCCTGTGTCTTCACTGTGTGTTGGTATTGGTACATCTAGAATATAAAAAGAATAACAATTAAATCAGGGCAAACTACTAAGGTAAGGTAGGTACTGTTAAACAAAAATCTGCTCTAAAAACAAGAGATTAAATCATAAATTTCGAAGACATAAATACTAAACTTATTATTATGTTTTTTGTCTTACTCACATAAACAGCCTATAATATCCAATGCTAAGCAAAACCTCTTCCCACACAGAGAAGGTTAAAGCATTAATCACCACGCTTGTTCAATGCGGGTTGGCGATTTCAAACAATGTTTTCCTTCACCGTTTGTCAGTGGTGTCTGAATAATCGTAGAAAGTACATATAACTCGGAAAAAGTCACATTGGTACTTGCCGTTGGTAGGTTTTGCACCCGCACCCTCATGCATTAGAAGTGGGCGTCTTACTCACGTAATACGTATACTGATAGTAGCAGCGCGACAGTCGCTGCGTCGCGTGTCGCGGAATGTTCATGAATATGAGCCTCTAGCATGGCTTGAAACTAGTCGAGTTCCTCGTCAAACAGTTACGTGAGTAAGTCGAAAAACATAATAATTAAGAATTAAAATCCATTACTGAAGCGAAAGAGATATGTAGAAATCGTAGCATTTGGCGTTCCGTAGTTTCTGCCTACTCCCCGTGAAGTTATGTATGTATGTACGTATTAAAATCCTTTAAAGATTTAATACTTGTTAAATTATACTTACAGCTGCATCAGGGCTTCGTCCCAACATCCTGTAATCACAGATAAGTAGGTATTACAAAATAGTTAGAATTTTTGAAATAATGAATGAAAGAAAGAAAGAAAAAACTAATACATAAACTGAGTAATCAGTCATGCAAGATGTTAAATAGTATGTTGTGCTTCCATTAAATACTAACATTTTTTTAGTTTAAATGTTTAACTTACGTTAATAAGTCCGTGAGTTCTGATATTTTCCCCTCGTTCTGTAAGAATGCTATGTAGTGGTTCAGAGCTACAGGTCTTGAAGACAACAGCTCATAAACAAGCTTCTTGTTCAGCGTCTGAATTAGGAATAGAACTACCTGAAAATTAAAAGTAATTAATCAATATTCCAAAAATATGTATTATTAATACTGTTCAGTTTAGATAACACTAGTCAAAAAATTGACTTTTTAAATCTATACTATCTATACTAATATTATTATCGAGGATGGCTATAGGCTGTAAAACATCACGCTACGACCAATAGGAGCTGAGAAGAGCGTGTGACACCACGCGGAATTTTTTTCATGAATCTATACCTCAATGCTCAAAACTATATAACTCAATACTCTTGGGGGTGATACATAATTATAATAAAAGGGCGGCATTTTGGCTCCCAGGTCGACAAAGATAAGAAGTCCTATTGGGTTGTTTGTTGTGGGGTGTGAAATTTTGTCTGGGATATGGCAATAGGCGCGTTCCCTTAATATTTGCTTAATTCTACACACACACAACATAACATCACGCCTTTTATCCCCGAAGGGATGGAAGGTGGGTGGAAGGGCTTAATTCTCCTTATGGAAAAATAAAAGAACTTACAGTCAACACAGCATTCCCATCTCCTATAGCCAGCGCTCCATCTAGTAACTCCGTCTTGCTCTTCATACTGCGGTGTACATGTAAGGAACAGCTGCGACCAAGAGTCAGTCTCTTGAGGGTCATAGCTACTGTCTGTTCAGGTTCGTATTTAGTCTCCTTTGAGGGGTCTTTGCCTGACTGTGCTAGAAGAACTGGAAATAGAAAAGAAAGATTAAAAGAAGAGAATGATTTGTGAGTTTCTTTACTTTAAAAAATGGTAATGTAACTGTTTATTATACTGTATTTTATGTAAAAAATGCTAAAAGAGGTGTGATGATTAGATGGCCATATTTGTGAACTGCTTATTAATATTATGATATGATTGAGCTAATAAAAAGATTTGTAAGAAGTGAATGTTCTTTAACCTGTTGAAAGTCATCCCATTTTGTTCAAACAAAAGTAGTCTCTAAACAACGGAAATAAGGTCTATAATATAGTTAGTGGAGAGCAGTCACCGGTGACTTGGGAATAAATGGGTTAAGACATGCTTCTGCAAATATTTATGTTACAATGGGAAGCAATTTATTGACTATTTAACAAGACAACATAACATAACGTAACATAGGCAGAGGTGCACATTACGGCACTTAATGCCACTTTTCACTATTTACGTTATGAGTCCCATGTAATATGTGAGGTGAGCCTATTGCTATATACCAGGCACAATTCTAGACTCCATGCTACCACTGAGAAAAATTTTTAAACCCAGTACTTTGCCGGACCGGGGAATCGAACCCGAGCACTTGTGATCGCTCGGCCAATTACTAGGCAGTCAAGCTACAATTTAAGTATTTAAGTAGTAAAGCTCCATTTGAATTAAAGTTGTAAAACAATTTGCAATACTTATTGAAATGAAATGGAAATAAACAATGTTCATTGAACAGTACAAAATACATACTCAGATCTAAAACTTTAGATGAAACAAGACTGTTCAGTGGTATGGCTGCTGACTGAACTGTGGATATGCTGATGTTATTGAAGAGGCTCTCTTCGCTCTGTCCTGGTGAGGAGTAGGACTTCTGACCAATGGCCAGGATCTCTTGTGTTGAGAGCTGGAAAAGTAATAATGATAATGAGGTTGGTTTTATAGAATTTAGGGAGTCATTAAATGTACTCGCTTCTTGAAAAATATTTTAAAGTTACTACCTACCTAGTGAAAAGTTGAATGAAATTTTGACAGTCAAAATATATAGAAGGAATCACATAAATGAGAATATTTATTGTTGGAATAACTGGTATGATCTTATTGTATTATAAGTAGGTTAATATTAATAGTATCAAAAACGGTAAAATATTCAAGCTTGAAGGCACAACAGACGTTTGAAAATGAGAAGACATTTTAATATAACTTTAGCACTCTCATAAATTACAATTTACACACTGTTTTCGCAATAATTTCGAAATAAAAATACACATATTATGGCAAAAGATGCTGGCAGAATAGAATATGATCTATGCCACATAATTTTAAAGGAAACTAGAACTGGGTCAGTTCAGTTCCTCTATTACTACTGGTGAATTTAAAGTTAATTTAATGTAATATTTTAAAAATACTTACGACATCGTCATCAAAACTGAAAGCCTTGGCCTTTGTTTCACTCGTATTCCAATAGTCATCGTCATCCATTGTTAAATATAATTAATAAATTAATATTTTCACGAATCACGAAAATTGTAAACAAACAAGTTTTGGAAGGTCGAAATGTCAACTGTCAAATTTTTATGTCAAGATGCCAAAACAAAACGTCATAAGCGTTTCTTTATTCGCAAAAATGTTAAAAGGTCTCAAACCTTTGTGTGGTTGGTAATCAAGGCCGTTGAATCCTATTTGGTGCAATTTCTGATGTCTATTAACCTTTTGAGCGCCAGGGTCACAAATACGTGACAAGCGAAAACTGTCCCTGAGCGCCAACGACACAAATATGTGACAAAAACAGCGGTACATTAAAACACGAAATAAACTATTTAAACATTACTTTAATGCCTATTTATTTATATACCTGTAAAATAGAAGGTCCAAAATTTATTTATTTCCATAAAACTAATTAAATTGCATTATAAATATTGAGAAATTTCACGTTAAAAAGAAAGAAATAAACTCTGAAAAAAGAATGTCCTCACACGCCAGAGTCATAACTGCGTGACCGCTAGTGATGTAGCGCATGTTGGATAATATCATTATTTCAAATCAAAGATCGATTCGAAACTTTCCTCTGGAATATATTATTTTAGGTATAATTTGGTACTAGGATAAAGCAGCATTAATTTTATAAAACCAGTCTTAAAAATCATTCAATAAGCTACATAGTCAAAAATAAAATTTGGTTGGGTCGAATTTCGATATTCACTAATCCCACCTCAAGCGCATCCCTAACGCAACCCGAATTATCAGTACCCTGTACGCCATGGTCACGACAACGACAATATCGTGACGTCACAAGCGCGGCGACCAGAAATTAGTGAAGAGAATGTCTAATATTATGATTAATTTACTTGTGATATCGAGTTCAAGATTTATATTAAGTGACTATTATAATGAATGGGAATTTAATGACTACGGAAGAACTTCTTCGCATATTAGAAGGAGTCTCAGATGACGAAGAATATATTAATATTTGACTCGAAACTTTTATTCTAAGTGTGGGCTCCATATTTACCTATAACTTCGTGGAATCAAGTCTGCCAAAAGTTCCTTTTTTAGCCACGGTGCGCGCTGAGATCGATTTCACTGTGCCCACCACCCACTTTGCACCCAGCGAATTAGATGATCAGAATGCAGGTTGCATTGTAGTTTTTGTATAATTTTGTTCTATTATTCAAAAGATTTATTAGTATAAGACTGATTGGTAATTGTGATAATTATATATAATCGTTAATTGTTTTAATTTGTTACTTTTTATGCCAGGTTTATAGAACTTAATATTTAAAAACATGTATACATAGTACATACTGTATAACATTTTATTAAAATTTTCTATTTTTCATAGTTTTTATTTACCTTCTTAACCTATTTCAATCATATATTTTTAAGTACCTGTTACATTCGGAATTATAAATCTGATTTAAAAAACGTGTTTCATTTATTATAAAATAATATTGTACTAGAACATCGATAAACGAGATATTACGTTGCCACATCCTTATTTCGGAAGCGAAGTAGTTATTAAAATGGCGGGCCGTCCACGCCATGGTCACAATATGAAGACAGCAGATCAAGAATAGTGTTGTACCTACAGTTATTATATTTAAATATATTGTAGTCTCATATCTGTTATTACGGTATTATACAAGTCTGTAAATAGTGTATAACTATTACTTTAATAGGAAGAAATGTAATGTTGAATTAAATTTCAATGTTATAAGGACATTATATTTCGAAATTAAAGACGAAAATGAAAATAAAATTGATTATCGATGAAGTTTTGGAATCCCTATTTTTTTCGTAGGTATTTGCGGTGAATTTGTGGCCTGGCGTTGAGGGCAAGTTCATGCGTTTTTGCTCTGGCGTTCAAAAGGTTAAACATGTCAAAATTTTGAGCCAAATATATTTATGTAAATGGGTGCCTAAAATCTATTTAACTTCGAAATTCTGGGCACCCTTTGGCAACTCTTGTTATTAACTCCACCTAGATCGAATGATTATGTGGTTAACGCTAGTCATCTGTGGCCTAGCGCACTACTTATAGGTTCATTATTGCTCTGGAACATGTCTACACACAATGGTTTCAGTTAAAGAGGTCCAGAGCTCAGTGGCAAGTCCTATAACTACTATAAAAGGGCTTACGTTCAGGGAAATAAAATGAGTCATTAACGAAACTAAAACGATTGCATTTCGTTGATAATAATTAGGTTAGTATAAGTAGGTAGTTACCTATTAATTTTCTGCAGAATTATTGCGTTGATATCATAATCTAGTAAAAGCGATTTGTTTTGATGATAATTATCGTAGGCATTTAAAATGATGTTGATAAATAAATTGTTACATAAACGTGCAACATAACTCTATGTAACCTTGAATATTAAAGGCCGTATTCTTATAATACCGTTTTTTCACATTAGCAGCCGGTCAGGTTGATCAGACCGCCTGGTCTCTATCACATGTCCCTTGGCGGAGTGGACGCTCAAACAATATGTCATGGGCACACAGCGAACACGCTATGAAAAAAACGTAGTCTTGCGTGTAGCAGTTGCGCGTTGCGACGTCGCCGAGTGATCACCTCACCACGCTTTCGTTGCAGACAACTACTAGTTTTTTTTTATGGAATAGGAGGCAAACGAGCAGACAGATCACCTGATGGTAAGCGATCAGCGCCGCCCATGAACACCTGCAACACCAGAGGAGTCGCAGGTGCGTTGCCGGCCCTTTAAAAAGGAGTACGCTCTTTTCTTGAAGGTTTGAAGGTCGTATCGTTTTAGTATGATTAATAAATTAATCTATTGTATTCTTTTGTATTAGTACCATACGTCATTAAGTAAGTAGGTTACCTACACCTTCCTAGTCGTCTGCATTATCTCAATTTCTCTGACGCACGTGTGCCATACCTGCCATGCGCTTCTTAAGTATAATGTAACTTATCATGCGTGATGTGATATAACGTTTGTAATTTATCGATACTATTGGTGATTAAGAGTGTGATTTGTGCCCTGAGCTGGCGATTGCTAAGGGGAAATCCTTTTACAATCAAGATAAAAAACATCGATCGGCTCTGAAAAAAGTTGCTGTTCGTTCCGTAGTTTTATACAATTTCTATTAAACTGTGGAACTATAATAAAGGCAAGATAGCTCATAATACAGAATCAGGGTAATCACGTCCTTGAAATGAGAGGCCTTTCTTAAACAGTCACATTAAAAAATCTGGCCTAATCTATCCTTACTATCCTTACTAATATTATAAATCGGAAAGTGAGTTTGTTTGTTTGTTTGTTTGTTCTGCTTTCACGCCGTAACTACTAAACCGATTGCATTGAATTTTTGTAGACGTAAAGCTAGAAGTACGGATTAAATAATAGGGAACTTTTTATCCCGGAAAAATTTGATGTTCCCGAGGGAAAACAAAAGAATTGGTATAGATGGCGCTGTGTGTATTGGTATATGTCAAATAGGCTACTTTTTATCCTTTTGTGACGCGAGCGAAGCCGCGCGTAAAAGCTAGTATTATATAAATTAAAAATGAATTTCCGTTCGTTAGTCTCGCTAAAACTCGAGAACGGCTGAACCGATTTGGGTAATTTTGGTCTTGAAATGTTCGTGGAAGTCCAAGGAAGGTTTAAAAGGGGAGAAAAACAATTTAAGCCGGCACAAAGTTTACCGGGTTAGCTAACTACTTAACCTAATCATTTTTCTTTAATCAGTTGTTTGTGGTTCAAGATTCCACAAAAAATATCCGCCTTTCTTGCCCTCCTTTAATACTATGGGATCTTGTACCTTTTGCGTCTAATTCTGTATCCCTTAATATCTGAAAATTATTGTCCATATTTTGGTCAGATTACCTACCAACCCTGGTATTCATATTTGATCTTCTGTGATAAATAATCATTGTCACGATGATTAGCAATGGCAAGGCAAGAAATTTTTTTAATAACTACCTGCGTATCCCTAATTGATTACCTACATAATTATAAAGACGATTGTTATAAAGACTTTGATTTTAAGGTATTTAGATAGATAGGTAAATGACTATTAATTATCAAGAAATTACTAGTCAAATGTTTACCTGCATTGTGGATAAAAACAAGTATATATTTTTTAATAGTGTTTTTAAAAATGGTAGCCGAAGTTACTAGTGGATTAAAACGGCAATTCTTGATCGCTGGATGCTGTAAGTTAAAATCTGATAAATCCTGTAGTTTAAGTTCTAAACACTCAGTGCTGCAAGACGTGAGTCCAATAACTAATCAGTGTGTGTTACTGGTGATCAACTATGGAACCGAAACATGGGCACTCATTATGGACCTCTTATGAAATCTCAAGGTCACTTAACGCATTATTAAAAAGGGGTATGCTCGGTGTTTCTTCGCGATCGGATCACAAATGAGGGGATCCGCAAACGAACAAAAGGCCCTGGCAAGCCCAGCGGGTTAGCAAGCCGAAATGGCTTGGTAAGGTGGGCGAGGTACATAGTTCGGAGAACCGACGTCTAATGGGTCAGAAAAGTTCTTGAATGGAGACCATGTACTGGCAAGCGCAGCGCAGGCAGTGACGTTATTAATGGCAGTCGTAAAAAGGGAAAATAATTATACCTATTATGATTTCTTTTCTCCCATTTCCAGTGTACTTAGGCCAGTTGGTATTGGGCTACACATTAGGATGGACAGCTCCAGTGATAGCTCTACTCCAGAGTCCAGAGCAGACAATATTGGAAACTCCGATAACTGTTGAGCAAGCGTCCTGGATTGTGTCAACCAGTTTCGCTGGAGTTCTTACAGGTATGTGAATTGTAATTGTGAATCAAAATGGTGAATTACAATTCCTTAACGATACGAAGTAAACTAACCCATAACCGGTATAACTTAAATAAAGAATGTGTGTCAGTGAACTTCTTTCAGCTGATGATGATCAATACCTAGTAGTCGAAATGCTATCGGTTGCTAGAATTATACTTAAACTCGCTTTATTTATAAGGTTAATTGCGAAATAATAAACTAATTCTTCATATCTTTCCAGGTCCTTACATTGCTGGGTACCTTTGTAATGTAATTGGTAGAAAGCCTGTACTGTTCATTGGTGCTGTGTTCATGATAATTGGGTACATAATAAAGGCATTAGCTAAACATGTAGCTGTTATATATACTGGTAGGGCAGTCGCAGGATTTGGGAATGGAATGCTATTCGTCATTAATTTAGTCTATCTTGGAGAATTAGCGTAAGTACCAGTCCATAATACCTAAACGGTTGAAGAATAAGAAGCCGAACCGACGAAAGTTCGGGACATCAGAACTTAATGTCTATTAAAGCGGTAAAGTGAATTTTGAAGTCTATCATTTTATCAAAATTGGGATAATGACAGGGTGTGAAAATTAAAAATGTAATTAGTCCGTAAGTTAGGTAATGAAAAAATATTAGACACGTATTTTTTTATTTTGTTGTATTATAAAACAATACCTAGATAAAACGAATTGAAGTTTAGAAGTGGGGGCTAAAACGTCATTTCTACGTACAATATACATATATACGTACGTACAATATAATATACGTATAATGTACATAGAAGTGACGTCACGCGACATTTCAAATCAATATATCGTCGAAAGTATTCGATTCTGAAAGAAAATAAAAAATACGTGTCTAATGATTTAAAATAATCTACGGACGGACAATAAAATAAAAATTAAGCATCTACCCTATTACCGTTTAGAAAAACAAAAGAAATATCGATGATTTCCTTTTGACAAGCATGTGCATCAGTCGTTAAGACCAATTCAAAAGTGTTTATTTCTTCCCAAAATATATCCTAATAAAATACATATACCTACTGCTGACTGACTTTTCAACCGAATAGTCTACGTGCTAAGTCTTTATCTATTTGTTATTTTTTCAGATCAACAAGTATTCGTGGGACACTTTTAACATTAACAGGATTTTCAAGTACTTTTGGTACTTTAGTAGTTTACTGCATTGGACCATTTGTGTCCTACGCAGCATTATCATGGATAGCGGTGGGCATTGGAGTAGTTTACATCATTTTACTATTCTTCATTGTTCCTGAAACTGCTGTTTTTCTTGTTATGGCTAGTAAGTGCATATTATTTTTTAATTCTTAAGTATTTTTAGACTAAATTCTGCTCGTAGAGTAATAAAACTCACGCTTTTGTTAAAGAAGGAAAGCTATTGAGCTTTGAGACTATTGAGTCTCAGAAATCGAATCCAAACGTTAGCACATAGATATTCTCGATAAGCGCTAATTGTCATACGACTTAAACTTCTCAAAACAATAACCCTGATTAAAACTTCACGATTGGTTTCCAAATTTTTTTTATGGCGTAAGGCGTTAAACGAGTTGACGGATCACCTGATGGCTTCACGTCGGTTTTCTTTGAGGCCGTGGTATCACTACGGTCGAGCCGGCCCATTGGTGCCGAAGCATGGCTCTCCCACATTTGAACATGCACTAAAACCTTCACATTTTCAGATAGAAGAGACGAAGCGATGGATCTCCTCACATCACTGGGCAGAAAAGACGACATAGATGATGTAGTGGCTAAAGCAAATGAGAAACCAATGTCAAACAAAGCTCAAATGGCTGAAATGGTTACCGTAAAATCGAATAGGAAAGCATTGTTCATAATTCTCGTTCTGAACATTCTACAACAATTCAGTGGTATAATAGCGGTAATATCCTTTGCTACAACCATTTTTGAATTGACTGGGTCATCTATGGAGTCCTATATATCTACCATAATTGTTGGAGTCACACAGGTCGGTGCAGCGAGTATTGCACCTCTGTTTGTAGATAGAACTGGGCGAAGAATTCTAATGTTGATCTCTACTGCAGCTTGTACTATAAGTTTGGTAAGTTCATTATCATTTTCATCTTATACAGGTTTTATAGAATCTTATCTAGTGTTACTATGGTCTTCTAACATAATTTCTTCTTCATCTCTTGTCATTTCCAGGTTGCTCTTGGTGTTTACTTCTTCCTATACGATAATGGGTATGACATCGCTGAGGACTTGCAGTGGATGGCACTAGTATCACTCGTGCTGTACTTCATTGCTTATTTTAGTGGTACGTTGGTTTAAACGAAATACTTTGTATCAGAGAATTGAACTTAAAAAATTGGCACAATCAGCACTTACATACACAGCACAGCATGACGCAACAGACATGAATTTGCTGTGTTGTATAGTTGAAACGATTTCTTGTTTCGTGTTAGGACATTTAAGATCGCAGAGAGCCAACTGGCTGGTCTGAAAGTCATTGGTGAGGCTTATGCTTAGTACCTATTTGACAATGACGACGACGACGATTTTAATACAGCTTTAACTGGTCACAATTTCTTTCATCAAAACGAAATATTAATTATGTTTCAATCTTTTCATCAAAATCATCTTTTCAAAAAAAGAAGAGCGTCATCTAAATCACACCTTTCTATTCCTTCGTCTCGTTCTACTTCATCCACCAGAAACTTATGTTCACCTTCGTTGCAGGATTCGGTATCATCCCCAACACGTTTATTGGAGAAATGTTCACTGACAACTGCAGAGGATTCAGTTCCACCTTTACCGTCAGCATTGGATGGGTCTTCGGCTTTGGTGTATCGGCTGCGTTTGGGTACATGTTGCCTGCTTGGGGACCAGCAGTGACCTTCTGGATCTTCGCTGGAGCTTGTGGCATAGCCTTAGTGTTTAGCGTAATATTCGTACCAGAGACCAAAGGAAAGAGCTTATTGGAAATTCAAGAGATCTTAAGTAAATAGTCTGTGATATTAGAATTAAAATAAATTATGTAAATAGTTGTTGATTGGTTTTCTTTTATTTTTTGTCATTATCATTATTATCTTATCAGAACTCCTTAGCGGACAGCACCAGGGAGTCTGGCCATGAGAGACAATCAATTGAATCAATAGACCTTTCTATCCTTATTAAAGTTGAGATTATAGTGAACAGCGAAGTTGAGGTGCGAAGTAAATATTTCTTTCAGGAATAGGTACAGACGTATCCACCGTCACCACATTTTTATTAATTCTTTAATTTTTTTACGTGTGTCTGTATCCCGGCCGCGACATTAGAAAATGTCCTAAAAGAAAGCTTGAAATGCATAATGGTTCCTATTGTGGGCTTAATATTTACTTAAATAATAAAAAAATTAAGGACCTATAGTAAATGTCCATAAGCCCTGTGTAAATCACTAATTTCGTGATAAACCAAATGTTATTGCGTATACGTAACACAACACTTTAAACTAGAATTAGGGGTACAACAAAATAAAAAACAAATAAAAAAAAACATTTTATAAATAGTATTATCACAGTTAATAAATCACTTTCCTAAGAACTCCTGAATTTCTAAGAGACTCTTGCCTTTTGTCTCAGGAACGAAAGTTGCACTAAATAGGAAGGCGATGGTGCAGGTTGCAGTGAAGATGTAGAAGGTGGCACTAGGTCCCCAGGCCAGGAGGATGTAGCCGAAGGAGGTAGTGACAGCAAAGCCGACGATCCAGCCGACAGTGGCGGAGAAGGTTGAACAGAAGCCTCTACAGGTATCAGTGAACATCTCTCCAATGAATGTGTTGGGGATTATGCCGAAACCTGGGAAGAAGGAGTGTTATTAATTGGTGTTTGTGGTAATGTAACTATGAAATGGAAAACAAAGTAAAAAGTTGCCTCAATAGGGACACACACACCCAGACCTGACAGAACAATTCACAGAACAAAGTATTGTTCCAAGCGGGAATTGAACCCGCTGCACGGTAGCTAGCCCAGCCACCGCACCAACCGTACAGTCGAACGTGTTTAGACTACTGATTCCTCGTTAGAAGAGTATAAAGCTAACTCTACTGTTAATATCTAGTATACTGCTTCTAACTAGATACTAAATTGGTTGTATTTTACAATAACACAAAAGTGCCTGCCATATAAATATAGCAATCGAACTTCAAATAAGAACAAACAAACAAAATAAGTGTAAAAATAGTTGATAATGTACTATCCAATATTTATCTTAACGTAATAGTATTTCATCAACTTACCACTAAAATAAAAAACGAAGAATAACATCAAGGAGACTAGAGACAGCCACTGCAAGTCCTCGGCGATGGCGTACCCATTGTTGTAAAGGTAAAAGTAGGTCCCAAGAGCAGCCTGGAAAAATGAACAGTAAATACCTTTATATTGACTGAAACAGGTTGACATAAACATACAGATCTAGATATTATCTTCCGTTGTGAAGTTATCACGAACAGTTTACTTATAGATAAACTAAATGGCGTAATGTGGTACAAATATTTACCCACTGATACAAACAAACGCATAAAAATGGTATACTAAAATATTATAATACTATCTACTATATCTAAAACCATAATTATTCTCCCATTTTAGCAGTTGATTCCATAATAACACATCCATTTATGAATCTATCATATATTAAAGTCGCGGAGAACCTAACGGGTTACCGGGAGTCCGGCTCGACGTGCAGAAGAAGGAACGGGGTGGTTTTTAGTCAGTAAGAGTCTGACATTCCCTCCCGCCTCACCCAGGCGGGAGCAGTCATTCGATGATTTTCCCCCCTTAAAAAAATCATATATTAAAACAGTACACAATGAAGATGATTAAAAACTTACCATGCTCAAAGAACAAGCGCCAGTAGAAACCAATAACAAAATCTTCCGTCCAATTCTATCTACTAATAAAGGTGCAATACTAGCAGCAAAGATTTGAGTCAGTCCAACAATAATAGTAGACACATGAGCTTCTAAAGTTGAACCGGTCATAGCAAATATTATAGTTACAAATGCTGTTAAAGGTATAACTCCACTCATTTGTTGTAGTACACTTAATGTTAAAACTATGAATAGTGCTCTTCTATTAGACTTGACAGTAAACATTTCTGCCATCTGGTCCTTTTTAGATCTTGGCTTTTCGCTCGCTTTGGTTACTACTTCTTCTATGTCGTTCTGTCTGCCTAGTAGGGTGAGATTTGCTATGGCTGCTTCTTTTTTACCTGAAAAGATAACAGTAATATTACATTTGTGTTGTTTATTATGGGTTAAAATGGCTGTATGAGTAGATTATTGAGGTGAATAGAAACTCTTTGTCGGAGACTTGAACATTCCGGCCCAGAGAAAGTAAGTTCTATTATATGAGGCCTTCTGAAAACTTCTATGGAATAGACTTAAGAATTAGAAAAATCTATAGATGGATATAAACAGATAGATTAATCTAAAAATGTAGATAACCTTGTGCCTATTTGTGACAACAGGCTTAGGCACTTTGTAGCTGATATGAATAGTGATAGAAAAACAAATTTACCAGCAATGACATGATATGTTGCAGTTTCAGGAACAACGAAGAACAAAGCAATGAGAAATATTCCTGAGATAGTCATGGACAGCCAGGATATCGCAGCGTAAGACACAAACGGTCCCACAGAGTATACAATTAGAGTACCAAATGTGCTGGATAATCCTGTCAGGGTGAGTAAGGTGCCGCGAATTTTCGTGGACCTGGAAACGAAAAATAATTATAGGTAAGATTTAACGAGTCATCGACAGAGGCGAAAAGTCTATGATAGTTCACGCCTGGATATACATCCTCTACATATGAGGGTTTGTCATAATCTACACGCTTGAGGCAGGTAGGATATTGCACATCATAGACGGTCATCTTTACAGGCTAAATGAGACACTATTGTTACGCTGACAACTGCACTCTGTACATATCCTATGTTAATTATATCTTAGTATTAAATAATTCTAAACGTAGGTACTTACGCCATTTCACCAAGGTACATCAAATTTGTAACATAAATGATTCCATTCCCAAGTCCACTTAGGACACGTCCAGTGAGAATCATGGCTATATTTTTGGACATAGCCAATGTTAGGGAGGCAATGAAATGGGCACAGCCGCCTAGGAAGAGACAAGGCTTTCTGCCTATCACGTTGCATAGGTACCCTGATATGTATGGACCTGTAACGAAATAAAATAAGTTAGATTTAGATAACTGCCACGCACCAAGTCTGTATGGTCTAAGATAATCTTTCATTATTTATAGTGCTTGTTTTCATTCAATGATGAGGTTGGTCATCTAAATGATATTTGTAATTATTTTTTACAACAATGAAATATGTGTTCATCATATTTGTTTATTATAAGTTCAGCTCACGTTTTCTGACTGACTGCTAAGAAAGAGGCTAAAAACCGAACGAACTTGCAGGAGTTATCACAGAAAGTAATGAAAGACTTTCAAGGACCTTCAGCAATGAAAATTGCGACCAAGATGAGACTAAAAATCTCTGAAATATATCCATCTCACACATGAAATCAAAGTTTCTTTAAAAGTTAAGACAGATCCTAAGTTTATTTGAAATAGTCTTTAGATGAAATTCTTAGTTACTTAGTACATTGCAATGAGGTAAGTAGACACTTGTAATGTTATTTTCATGAAACACTATAGCCATTCAACGGGTCTGCTTTAGTTTATTGAGAGACTCTCATACTGAGCAGAATTATGGGTAGTTTTCAGGGTATCAAAATTAAAAATCTAATTAGTCCGTCAGTTAGATAATGAAAAAATATTAGACACGTATTTTTTTATTGGATTTATTAGATAAAATGGCGCTAAGTAAACTTAAGTGGTGTGTGAGGAGGTGGAGTGGGAGGTTGTTCCGTCATAACGTGCTACAAAATGTGGCACGCTGTGACGTCACACAATATTTCAAATTAATATATCGTCGAAAGTATTTAATTTTGTGAGAAAAGAAAAAATACGTGTCTAAAGTTTTAAATTAATGTACTAGACGGACATTCAAATAAAATTTAGGAAATTACCCTATTAGGCGTTACTTTACGAAGATCCATACCAAAAAAAAATATTCTAGAAAAATAATATTTCCGTGTTACAAACCCGAAATAGTCCCAAAATAAATGAAAGAAACGATCCAGGAAGACATGCCATCAGTTATGACGTCATTCAGCGGTGTCTGCTCAGGATCCTGGAGTTTGGCCAGCACTGGTGCTGTCCAGCCGAGGTTGTAGCCTATTCCAAACTGTCCTATGTATACTGGAAAGAGAAAAAGAAATGTTATAGATCAAATTCATAGAAAACTGTTGAAGGCGAGTGCTTTGCTAACGTCGGTCACCATTAACTCCCATGGCGCTTAAAGTGTTAGATAAGTTTTTTTTTATATATTTGGAACTAGCTTTTACCTGCGGCTTCGCTCGCGTCACAAAAGGATGAAAAGTAGCCTATGTGACTATCCATCCCTTCAACTACCTTCTAATTAGTACCTACCTCCGTTCTGCCGTTTAAGACAGGCAAACAAACAAATAGCTTGCCACTCGCGTGGAATTCGGTTATATCGCTATTTAAATTTTTCCAATAAGTAGGTAATTCGTTGACTGGTTTTAAATTACATACAGCGCCATCTATACCAATACACACAGCGCCTTCTATACCAATATTTTTGTTTTCCCTCGGAAATATCAAATTTTTCCGAGATAAAAAGTACCCTATTATTTAATCCAGACTTCTAACTTTACGTATACAAAATTTCAAAGCAATCGGTTTAGTAGTTACGGCGTGGAAGCAGAACAAACAAACAAACAAACAAACTCACTTTCCGATTTATAATATAAGAAAGGATTTTGTCTAAAAATGGTTAGGAGTCTTATTTTTCTTGTGACCACGCCGGCGAACTAGTTGAGAAGCAGTATAATATACAAGTAAAAAAAATCCTTATCTATTCAACCTTTTTAATTTACCTATATTTTCGATTATGTAAAGGCTTTGGCTATGGCTATAAATATTTAGAAACATCTTAATTTTACTGATTTGTTTAATGATAACATAAGACAACACCTGTGGTTTTGTACTGAGCAAATAAGTATTTTAACTACTTTTGTTATCACAGTATTTTTTTTAAACGTTGGAACACTAGGATTTTCTCCTGTGTCGTGGATGCGTTTACAAACATACAAGTTCACATACACATGACACCCAGACCCGGACCAACACTCTGTGGATCATAAGAAGAGTTGTTCCATGCGGGAATCAAACCTGCGACACGTTGCGTGGCAGCCAGTTGCCCAGCCACCGCGCAAAGAGAGCTGACTTCTAATCGTAAATGTAATAAGACGAAGTTATTATGCCCTAAAATGAAATACAGGGAACAAAGTCACTTACAGCACGCTGCTATCACATATTGCATCCGCAAACTCGTATTATTTACAGCACCCATTATTATAATATACACAAATATTTATACTATAATAAAACTATACACTTATTTATCTACATCACGTCTAACATAAGAGATGAAAACCATCGTACTGAAACAATAACAGAGTGTTTTGTCTTCATTTATAGTTTCATCTTATCTATTTTCTTTATGTATTTTGTATGTAACACTATGAAATATTAAGTATATAGAATGTACAGTCATTGTACGCTGTGAAGAGATGAATGGTGAAATATAAAAACAAGGTCGTTTTGTCTGCTATAGCAGACTAGTCTTAATCTTGTTCACTGTATATCTGCGTGATCAATTGAATGATAGGCCGGCTGTGATCCATAAATATAATATGGCAAGCTATGATTATCGAACAAAAATAATATAAACTTGTATATTTCCGAGATATATATAAATAAATATTACTGACTCATTGGCCGAGTGGTCGCAAGTGCGACTGCCGGGCAAGGGGTCTCGGGTCGGGCAAAGTACTACTGTGTTTTTAAAAATCTTAGTAGTAGCACGTAATCTGGAAATGTGCGTGGTATATGGCAATAGGCTCACCCCATATTACATGGGACTCATTACATAAATACTGAAAAGTGGGTGTTACGTTGTACAGTGGCATTAAGTGCCGAAATGTGCACCTCTGCCTACCCCTTCGGGGTTAAAAGGCGTGATGTTATGTTATGTAATTATTATAGAAACACTAAATAATTTATTTATTAATAAATCTCAACACGGCAATAAAAACAGTCTCAAAACGTTCACTCCTGAACATAGGCTTCCCTTAAACTGTCAAACACCGCGAGGACACCGGTGACCGCAACCTATTGTTCTTTAATTGTGTCTATAATGACGATACTCAAAGGGTTAATAGGGAAACGAACTTACATTTTTGTGACTTCTAAACCAAAGAGAAAGTCAACGTATGGAAGAAGAATAAAGCATTCAACTTAGTTAAAAAAGTATTCGGCAAAAACACAAGATGGCACCACTGAAGTGTTTTTGAAGCGCCATCTATTCAAAATATAATTTATGTTTTGAGTGAAATTTAACAATGATAAGTGAGATATTTTGCTCCGTTAACAACAGAAAGAAAGAGGTTTGTAAGGATCGTAGCAATTGGCGTTCCATAGTCTCTGCCTAACCCCCATGGGAGGCGTGAGGTTATGTTTATATTAACAACAGCTCATATCTATCACTTGTTTCACTTATTTTGTGAAATAATGTCATTATCATATCAGTGAGTAATGTTTACTTTTTTAAATCAGAGAATAGAACATTGCCACGCTTTTATAATGGCCGTAGGAAGCGACAAGGAGCCGGAATAATAATATTATATACACCGTGTATTTCGTTTTCGTCCTGCGACAAAATAACATGCCATAAGGGATCCTTTCGATGTATAAAGCAAAAACAAAAAAATAAAGATAAAAAATATTAAATAATAATATATTAGTTAAAAAAAATGATCATTGACTTTCCCATATGAGACACTACATGTAAATTTGTAGGCACTATTCGCATCGCACGTGCCACCCGCCGATACCTTTTCGAGAATTACAATTTTAAGTGTGGGAGAGCCATGCTTCGGCACGAATGGGTCGGCTCGACCGGACTGATACCGCGGCCAAGCAGAAAAGCGACGTGACATAACGCTTGCGTTATGTTTCGTCGTGTGATTGAGGGCACTGGAGATCCAATTATCCCCCCCCCCCCCCACCACATCACGCTTCCCCAATCCCTGAATCCCCAATAATCTTCAAATTACTAATCCCAAAAGGCCGGTAACGCACTTGCAACGCCTCTGATGTTCCAGGTGTCCATGGGCGATGCTAATTACTTACCATCAAATCATCCGTCAGAACGTTTACCGGCTTATACGATAAAAAAACAGCGTGATGTTTTGATAATGTACTATGAGTACGTACGCACTTATTTTGTGTTTTAAATATTTTATTTTTTTGTAAAATAAATAAATTTTACGGTGTATGCATAATATAACTAGTGGGATAACCTATTTTGTAATCCAAGTTCTGTTATGTTGTGATTAGATTCTGGCTTGACCTTCCCAACCTGACCTTCCCCAAGACAAAAATCAAACGTAGAAAGATAATTTGATATCCGCCTAGTTCAAGGGATTAGACCATTGAAATAGATAACAATTTGTTTAACAATGATAACCATAGTAGATAACTAAAGATAGTTAGCGTAACGATTATTATCTCAGAGCGACACGGCACGATTACATAAATTGTATCAAAGATTTTCGGTCGCTACGTTAGTTTAGACTTAATTTAACACTAAATACAATTGTGGGAGAGCCACGCTTTGGCACGAATAGCCGCGATGCCATCTCATGCTGCTCCATCTCCACGAACAGACGCTGCCGTCTTCTATACATATCATATTTTTGTGCCAACAATAATATACATTAATACAAGTATCATTTTTAATCGACTTGAGACTGAATTATATTTCTAACCAGAAAGTCATCAAATTTCTACCACCTAAAGATTTTTTCTCACCTTTTCCCTTCCCTGAACTTTCACGAACATTTCAAGACCAAAATTAACCAATTCAGTTCAACCGTTCTCGAGTTTTAGCGAGACTAACGAACGGAAATTAATTTTTATTTAAACAGATTAATGACAAATCTGTCAAAGTGTAACGAAAGTAATTAAGAACCGATCTAATTGAAGTGTGGGAGAGCCATGCTACTGAGGTTACTGGACGCCCATTATTATGCAAGAGTATTGATTAATGCTCAAACCTTCTCCGTGTGAGAAGAGGCCTTTGGTCAGCAATGGCCACTTATTAGGCTGTTGGTGATAATGACTGCCTCGTTGGCCGAGTTGTCGCAATTGCGACTGCCGGGTAAGGGGTCTCGGGTTCGATTCCCGGGTCGGGCAAAGTATTACTGGGTTTTTAAAAAAAAAATTCTCAGTAGTAGCACGGAGTCTGGAACTGTGCCCGGTATATGGCAATAGGCTCACCCCCTATTACATGGGACTCATAACATAAATAGTGAAAAGTGGGTGTTACATTGTACAGTGGTAGGTATAATGTGCACCTCTGCCTACCCCTTCGAGGATAAAAGGCGTGATGTTATGTATGTATGTATGTATGATGATAATGAATCACTCTAGTCGGGTCGGTCCATTTGTACCGAAGCATGGCTCTCTGACTAATAAAAATGTGTTTGAAGTTATTGTTTGTACATGTATATGTTGTTTGTAATGAAATTACGACTACACAACATGACAATGTTTTTTAAATGAAAAATACTGGTTATCACCGGCTAAATACTCGACTACCTAATCAAAAATGATTTATTCTATACAAAAGAAAAATCGTTTTCACACTTTACCGCGTTGTATTAAAATGTTGCAATATATTGTGCAATATTAAAAATCTTGTTGTGTAACACTCTACGCGACACAAGATACGGTAAATAAAGTAACAGTATTAATTTTTATCTCAAGATAAAGAACATTTTTGAGTCTATTTTCTGAAATTTCAATCTAGCTCGGCAAATGAGCAGATGGGTTACCTGATGGTAAGCAATTAGCGCCGCTCATGATGACTAGACAGCCGCGATGCCAGAAAAGTACATTAACATTATTGGGGATTGGAGATTTGAGGTTGATTAGCATACTATACAATTTTATGTGTGTACCTATTGACGGCAAATGCACGTTCTGCCATGGGAAAGTGGTATTTAAAACTAAGTTTAATTTTCGAATAGAAGAGGTAAAGAATGAATACAATGAAAAAAAATTAAAAATATTTATTTCACACACACATACACTTTCACATTCATACATTTATAAATTTACAGTATCCAACAATGATTATTTACAACTTAATTAACTAGTTCATGGTGATTCATTTGTTATTATATTCCGTAGACTCTGTAGACTCCGTTTCCTAGGCTAGAGAAGATATACAATACAATATGATATACAAAACAAATGGTCTAGAACAACCCTAAATATTTTTACAACTACACAAGAAGAAGTTACAGTTAAAAATTAGGTACAATATCCAATATAATACACAATATCACGTCTACGTACATTATTATGTATCAATGATCTTAACAATGTTTTAAAAATCAATATTGACAGTAGAAACAGGCCGATCAGTAACTGTCAGATTGAATGTAAAAAAAAAACAACAAAAGAATCGTACAACAGAATATAACATAACAATCGTTCGACAACCCGTTTTCACGAGATAAAGTTTAAAAAGATAACATCCATCAATTTAACGTACAAACGTAACAAACAAATAAACAACAAAACTAAAAATACAAAACTAAAATTTAATATCACACTTTGTTTATCTACTAAGTATCTCCTGGATTTCTAGTAAGGTCTTTCCTTTGGTCTCAGGTACGAATATTGCGCTAAACAAGCAGGCTAAGGCACAAGCTGCAGCGAAGATCCAGAAGGTTACTGCCGGTCCCCAAGCTGGCAACATGTATCCGAATGCAGTTGCTATTCCAAAGCCGAAGACCCATCCAACTGTGACGGTGAAGGTGGAACTGAATCCTCTGCAGTTGTCAGTGAACATTTCTCCAATAAACGTGTTGGGGATGATACCGAATCCTGCAACGAAGGTGAACATAAGTTTCTGGTGGATAAAGTAGAACGAGACGAAGGAATAGAAAGGTGTGATTTAGATGCACTCTTCTTTTCGATGTAATCATCTATCTAACTAAATGATCTTAATTTTAAGCCTCATTAATCAAATTATCAGTTTGTTTTTTATGAATAAATTTGACCATTAACATTTTAAAGTTAAATTCAAGAGTACCTTTGTATCCTATCTTAAAATATCTAGTCTGGCTTTGTCCTACGTAAATACATTGAACGCGTTTGCCCTCAACAATTTTCTTCGTCAGTCAAAACATTAAGTATAATTCAATAGATCTACGTACCACTGAAATAAGCGATGAAGTATAGCACAAGTGAGACAAGCGACATCCATTGCAAGTCGTCAGCAATGTCATAACCATTATCGTATAGGAAGAAGTAAACACCAAGAGCAATCTGAAAAATAACAAAATGTGTCAGAAATATGAAATGTACCTTAAGACTAAACAATAGATTTATACCCACCGAGATTTGATTCGGTACATAAAACTCTATAGATATGTAAAAATAAATTTAGAGAAGAAAGTTCCGTTACCTGAACTTGAATAAATTCTTGTATTATTGGAAAACTAAATATGCATATCATATTATCATCAGCTTTGCGAGGTTATGACTTCAGTCTAAGTGTTTAGTCTAGACTTTAAGTGGGCACTGAGTGACGACGTAGAAATTTATACTTTTCTATAGTCAGATCGACTTACTATATGACAACAAGAATATAAATAAAAATCTCGCGAAAATCAAAGATGCGAATGATGAAGAACTTACCAAACTTATAGAACAAGCAGCAGTAGAGATTAACAATAATATCTTTCTTCCAGTTCTATCTACAAATAGAGGTGCAATACTGCCTGCACCAACTTGTGTAACTCCAACAATAATGGTAGATATGTGGGCCTCCATAGATGATCCGGTCAACTCGAAAATGGTCGTAGCAAACGAAATCACAGCAATTACACCGCTAGCTTGTTGGGCAATGTTCAGAACGATAATTATGAATAATGCTTTTCTATTTGACTTTATAGTGAACATCTCAGCCATCTGATCTTTGTTTGACATTGGTTTCTCATTTGCTTTAGCTACTACATCATCTATGTCGTCTTTTCTGCCCAGTGACGTGAGGAGTTCCATCGCTTGGTCTTTTTTGCCTGGAATTTTAAATGAGTTGTTAATTCTAGTATTAATTATGAGCATATTTACATGAATGTGTTTTTTAAGATAACATAAGTAAATGACCATCATCAACCCATGACAGTCTACCTATGGACCATCTCTATATAAGAGGATTTACCCTAATCTTCTTACGTGACTGACTGATTGGACATCTGAGTCCATTTTGTATTGAAAAATCTTTAAGGAATCTTACCGGCCATAACGAAATAGACGGCGCTTTCAGGTACGAAGAAGAACAAAGCAATGATGTAAACAACCCCAATGGCTACGGCTAGCCAACCAATCGCAGCGAAGGACACGTACGGGCCCACAACATATGCTATTAGAGTTCCAAATGTACTGGAGAATCCGGTCAGTGTTAGTAATGTACCTCGAACATGTGTTGACCTGAAAAATGGAAAAGCAAGTTTTATAATTGTGCTTGTGAAGATAACGACAATGTTATATGTATGACATGTACATGATAAACCTGAACCATGTATTAAACTGTTCTTTCAAATCAGCTTACTAAGGATAGAGAATAAGGACAATTGGGATGATGACGGGGTATGAAAATTAAACATCTACTTAGCCTGTAAGTTAGGTAATGAAAAAATATTAGACACATATTTTTTTATTTTGATGTAAAATAAAATAATACTTAGATAAAACGAATCAAAGTTTAGGAGTGGGCGCTAAAACGTCATTTCTTAGTATAAAATATACTGAGAAGTGACGTCACGCGACATTTCAAATCAATATATCTTCGAAACTATTCGTTTCTGTGAGAAAATAAAAAATACGTGTCTAATGTTTTTAAATAATCTACCAGACGGACATTAAAATAAAAATTAGTCGTCTACCCTATTGGGATGACGACGGGGTATGATAATTAAACATCTACTTAGCCTGTAAGTTAGGTAATGACAAAATATTAGACACATATTTTTTTATTTTGATGTAAAATAAAATAATACTTAGATAAAACGAATCAAAGTTTAGGAGTGGGGGCTAAAACGTCATTTTTACGTATAAAATGTACATAGAAGTGACTTCACGCCACATCAAATCAATATATCGTCGAATGTATTCGGTTCTTTAAGAAAATAAAAAATACGTGTCTAATGATTTAAAATAATCTACCAGACGGACATTAAAATAAAAATTAGGCATCTACCCTATTCTCGTATGTTGATAAGTTTTATCATATATATAAGATAAGTCCAGTAGTTTTACCAGGCTTTTGCGGGCTGTTGATGAACATGATGATGAATGATGAAGTTTTATATGTAACTCTTAGAAGTGCCACGTCAGTCAGTCAGTGGTGCCTGACGCTAGTGGAGGTTTGAATGTCACCATGTATTTGGTCGTTACAGTATGGCGTTCAGCTGTGCTGTGTTAGTAATAGAAATGATAGATGATGATAATTAAAATAGTAAATTTGAAAGAGTACTCACGCTAATTCTCCAAGGTAGACGAGATTTGTGACGAACAACATTCCGTTGCCGATTCCCATGATAATTCTGCCAGCGTATAACATAGCTAGCTGGTTAGCTAATGCGAGTATTAAGAAGCCCAGGGTCATGAAGACACCCCCAATGTACAGACAAGGCTTTCTGCCTATCACGTTACAGAGATACCCTGAGACGTAGGGACCTACAAAATAAAATGATAGGTAAAATTATGTTATGACTAAATTATAGAATGATTGTTAAGTATTTCTTTTAACATAACGCCTTTTATCCCCGAAGTGGTAGGCAGAGGTGTACATTACGGCACTTAATGCCACTGTACAATGTAACACCCACTTTTCACTATTTATGTTATGAGTCCCATGTAAGCCTATTGCCATATACCGGGCACAATTTCAGACACCGTGCTACTACTGAGGTTTTTGGGAAAAACCTAGTAATACTTTGCCCGACCCGGGAATCGAACCCGAGACCCCTTGCCCGGCAGTTGCACTTGCGATCACTCGGCCAACGAGGCAGTTATTTTTTTTTTAAAGAAGTGATAATAAGCTAAGACCTAATCAAATGTGGTTTGCACAGCTTAGGTTCTTAGAGTTTCTCGTTGATCCACTATATTGGAGAGATCTATTCTTATATCGAGGCCGGTTAGGTTTTTGTTAGGATTTTCAACAGTTTTATATAATGGCATAGCGTCCACAATTGCTGGTGTATGCCAATGTATGGTAATTAAGTGGCCTATCAGGAAGTCATCGGGCCCATGTTGAGCATTCGACGTCCGATGGCTGATATGATGATGATGAAGTGGAATTCACAACATTTTTTTTTATGGCATAAGCCGGTAAACTAGTAGACGGATCACCTGATGGTAAGCAATCGGCGTCGCCTATGGACACCTGGAACACCAGAGGCGTTACAAGTGCGTCACCGGCTTTTTGAGGATTAGGAGTTTGAGGATCGTTGGGGATTCAGGGATTGGGGAGATTGGGGAAGGGGAAGGTAATTGGGCCTCCGGTAACCTCACTCACACGACGAAACACAACGCAAGCGTTGCTTCACGTCGGTTTTCTGTGAGGCCGTGATATCACTCCGGTTGAGTCGACCCATTCGTGCCGAAAATGGAATGTCTGCAGAAAAGCTGTATGCATACATTGGAAATGGGCATGTTTGTCTAACTCTTCGGTGATTGAAAAGCGTATTAAGACCTAACAATTAATTTAAAGAAAAATGAACAAATCGTACTACGAACCTGTAATAGTTCCTATAAATATGACAGACACCACCCAGGATCCTTGTTCTACTGTTAATACGGAGTCCAGCACAGTTTGATCTGGACTCTGTAGTTCGGCCAGCACTGGAGCTGTCCATCCCATGGAGTAACCAACCATAAGCTGGCCAATGTACACTGAAAATATAAAAAGAAAAATTAAGTTTAATTGAAGAAGATAAAGAAAGAAATTGGAAAGAGTGTGTGTAAGTTTTGAAAGAATAGAAACTGTTTTAGAAAGAGGAGCGAAGAAAGAAGATAATTTCAATTTTGGAAATAGAATTTTACTTCTAAAATTAAAATTAATGAAGTTTGGTGCAATGGTATTGGTTAGGTATATTGCTAAAAGGTTTTCTTTACGAGTCCGAAGTATGTACTCACTCACAGAACTATAATAATTTTGTCAGTGTTCTGGGAATGTTCCCCAGTGACAGTGATGAGGACGAGAACTTTGTCGCCTAATTGAGGGGATTTTTATATTTTCTTTTCGTTCTTTTTTTATTCAAACCTTCTTTAGCCACCTGTACACCGAGTGGTCGCAAGTGCGACTGCTGGGCAAGGAGTCTCGGTTTCGATTCCCGGGCCGAGCAAAGTATTAATGAGTTTTTACATATTTTGCAGTATTTGCAAGTTTGGAATTGTGCCCGGTACATGGCAATAGGCTGACCCCCTATTACATGGGACTCATAACATAAATAGTGAAAAGTGCAGTACATTGTACAGTGGCATAATGTGCACCTCTGTCTACCCCTTCAGAGATAAAAGGCGTGATGTTATGTATGTATGTGTTACTTCAACCAATCATTACGCTCGAGTGAAATCATTTAGATAATTTGTAATAAGGACGTATAAGATGTAATTAATTATTTTATTGCATAAGATAATCTGATATACCAACTAACATTACTCAATTACGAGATGTATATATTCCGGCTTTGTTTACGCGACTTTATATATTTTTTTATCGAAGTCTTACATTGTTTGACTATGAAGAACACAGTAAAAGATTTATCCAATATGGCGCAGTCATTTGAGAGTTACATGAACATTGTATATTTATTTTTATTTAAGTATTTATTTTTATTTTATGTAGACACGATCCTGTCAGCACGATGTTAGCTTTATCAGTTAAAATTGATTGTAAAGTGAGTTTGAGTTACTGTGACTAACTATGGTATTATAACCATAATTACAAAATACTCAAGAGAGTTGGTTTTTATAATAAACTAGCTTCTGCCCGCGACTTCGTACCCGTACCATCCCATTTTTTCCCGTCCCCGTTCGTGATTTTCGGAAAAAATTTGGTTAAAAAATATCCTATGTCGGTCTCCTGGCTCTAAGCTACCTCCCTACCAATTTTCAGCCAAATCTATTCTACAATTCTTGAGTTATAAGTGGTGTAACTAACACGACCTTATTTTATATATATAGATATACAAGTAAGAAAGTTTTTAAGACGAAAATAAACAAAAATAACGTACAGACTAAAATAGAGTGATAAGGTACTTACTATGCCGTCTTTAATTATGTTTTCGTTATATGTATCAAATTTGTTATATTCGTTATTTACTGCCATAAACTATAGTTTGTTTGTTTATTTGTTAGTTTCTGTAATAATACCTATACATTACTGTGAATTTTTTTATATATTATACCGGCCAAAGATTTGTTTGTGTCTTATGGTAAAGTCATGTAATTATGTTTTATGTTTTTTTAATAATTTGTCCCGAAGACGAAAAAAATAAATATAACTTTGATTTCTTTATTTGTAAAAAACGCATTTCTTCATGTAATCTTATCCTATTTGAAATACTCTGATTCCTAGGTGACCTACTACTTAGAACCTTAGTCCTATATTTCCTACCGTATTAACGAAAAACAGGTGTGATGTTTGTACTCTTATTTATATAAAAAATAATTATAATATATAACTTACAGCATCCTGCAATAAGGAACTGCCTTCCAATCCCAACTTGGACTCCCATTTTTATATAAAATATCACAGTTGATCTACCACACTTATAAAGTAATTATAATATATAATTTATATACATTAAAAATTAATATATAATTATGTATATATTTTTGTCTTCGTGTGTATTACATTCCACGGTAAGGTGGACTATTTGTTTTATCTTTATATTACCTTATATATTTTTGTCGTAAATCGTATATTGTGTGAATCTGTACAGATAGACGATTTTAGGGTTCTGTGCTATCAATATAATAAATCAGTTACGTTTATGCCAGTCATTATTATGTAGAAATGTATGTTATATCATTATACCACGGGGAATGCTCTGAGGAATCGTTTGACCTGATACCTGCCGCATCTTTTCGCCATCGACCCTCACGATAGAATATGCATCCCCACCATATAGATAGTTGGCAGGCCACAATTGTGCGCTTCTCACGATGCTTTCTGCCTCGCACAGCAAAACTGTGGAATGATCTGTCGTCGGCGGTATTTCCGAAGCGATACGACCTTCAAACCTTCAAGAAAAGAGCGTACTCCTTTTTAAAAGGCCGGCAACGCACGTGTGACTCCTCTGGTGTTGCGGGTGTCCATGGGAGGTGCTGATCGCTTACCATCATCCGTCATCCGTCAGCTCGTTTGCCTCTTATTCCATAAAAAAATGTATTGCAGTGAATTTAATAGTGATAGGAGTGTTTCTTGAACGTAATTACTCTAAGGTAAGGCTGTAAAGTATATAAAATAATCGATGATTTTTTATATTGCAGTAAATTGTGAAAAAAGTGTTTTTTGAACGCGGTTTTCTAAGGTAGGACTGTACATAAAATCATGGATGTTTTTTTTTATAACATCACATTGTTGCGTGTGTTGACCGCTTAAAATATGATTTAAGATCTTGTGTACCGTATAGAGTGTGTTCGAAAAAACAGTTTCTCCACATGACACAGAAGGGACTTCGTAGTCTAGACTAGTAGTTTTTAGGACGGTCACTTCTTTCTTTTTTTTTTTTTAATTTATTCAAAAGTTGGAATGAGAACATACAAATTAATCTACTTAATTAAGTACCTACAGACCCTTCTCTACACTTATACATTTATTGACATATAAGAATTTAGTATATCATAATCATAACATAACATCACGCCTTTTATCCCCGAGGGGTAGGCAGAGGTGTACATTACGGCACTTAATGCCACTGTACAATGTAACACCTACTTTTCACAATTCATGTTATGAGTCCCATGTAATTAGGGGTGAGCCTTTTGCCATATACCGGGCACAGTTTCAGACTCCGTGCTACTACTGAGATTTTTTTTAAAACCAGGTATACTTTGCCCGACCTGGGGATCGAACCCGTGACCCCCTGCCTGGCAATCGCACTTGCGACCATTCTGCCAACGAGGCAGTTTAGTATATCAGTTACTGTTATTATGGTATTCATATCAGTTACTGGGATAAATAATATATAAAATAGATATACGGAACTTAACATTCAAAACGTTCAAGGCCTATTACTTTTATCAGGATTATAATATATCAGATACGATATATTACGACAATACACTATATACATATATATAGATACGTAATACATTATATAGATATTCATAAATCTGTACACACAATCAGTGAATTTTGATTGCTTTATTGGTCAGTAGCCTTTAACTGATTTACAAAGCACGTGGCGGTTCAGTGTTTGATACAGACAGATTTATTTACTGACTAGCTTTTACCCGCGGCTTCGCTCGCGTCACGAAAGGATAAAGAGTAGCCTATGTGACATATGTCACACCAATACACACAGCGCCATCTAGGTATACCAATACATTTGTTTTCCCTCGGGAATATCACATTTTCCGGGATAAAAAGTACCCTATTATTAATTAATCCGGACTTCTAACTTTACGTCTGTTAAAATTCAAAGCAATCGGTTTAGTGGTTACGGCGTTAAAGCGGAACAAACAAACAAACTCACTTTCCGATTTATAATATTATAGTAAGTATTAACTAATTCGATAATGACGCTTCTTTTTATCGAGAAAAGCAAATTATATTAGATTTTTTTTTCACTAATAACTTAGGACAATAAATTTTATTTGATGTAATAATTATTATTTCAACTGGAATGTTGCTATCAATTTTATTGTAATTTTGCATATTTCATTTAGAGTCTTTTTTATATGGCATAAGCCGGTAAACGAGCAGACGGATCACCTGATGGTAAGCGACCGGCGTCGCCCGTGGACGCCTGGAACACCAAGGCATTACAAGTGCGTTACCGGCCTTTTGGGAATTGGGAATTTGAGGATTGTGGAGGATTCAGAGATTGAAGTGAATAAAACTCTTGCGAAAAAACTAGACCTATAACTTTAAAATAGCCAATCTGTCCTGAGCAATCGTAATGAGCAATGTTTGCTCTTTCTTTTCTTCATCTGATATTTATAATACTACAGCAAATCCTAGTACGGGTAGCCTTGCTTCACTTACACTTTGTAATCAAAGATATTAAACACGTCAAATCCTGAAAGTGAACCGGTTTCAGAGATTAAAATCTGTACAAAGATATAAATGCCTAGTTTTCTGATCATTATAATCAGTTGATAACGACTAATTAATTGGATATGTCTAGAAATAATTCAAATTCATTTATTAATTGTGCATCAGCATCGTCGTCATATTTTTTTATTTAAACTGACTGTGTCGACAATCTACTGTCGAGTATAGAGGTAAATATAATTGGAGTTTTTCCGTTTTCGACATTTTTTCGAATACTTATTATTGTTTTGATTGTTAGCAGGCTGTGCTGCATCTTATAGGTGGTCATGAGCGGTCATGTCGCGTATTATGTGAAAAAGAATTAAAAGTTAAAAAGCTATCTATATATAGTCTTCTTTTATTGAATTATATGTTTATGTAAAAGATTTCATATTTTCAAAATTGCCGTCATCGACTTTATATTTGTTTTTTTTTTAATTCGCTAGAATATGTAGCTTTCCAATCGAATGTTACAAATTATATGCATAGTATGACGACGATAAAATTTAGAATTTTCTGTATTGTTTTCATTTTACATCAGCTGATATCTCCGTCAATGTTTATCGTACAATCAGCTGTGCTGTTCTAAAAGTTCATTTTGCAATGTCATTTCTGAATCTGCCTGAACTCTAGCGCCATCGATTGATACCAAAAAATTACGACACAACTTTTCGACATTCTGAGCCTTGGCAAATTTTGACTTGTGAGGTATGTTACGTGATAACGAATTGTAGGGCTGAACGAAACACTTATATAATACTATCGGACCCAACAGACGTTGTCCTGCATATCCACTTGAATGTATAAACAAAAATTCATTCAAATTAGTTCAGCTCTTTAGGATAAATAACCCAAACATCGACTGCAGCGCCATCTGCCGGGCTGATTTGAGAATCTAAACCATTCCCAGATCCCCTTGAACACACACAAAAAATTTCTTTAAAATCGGTCCAGTCGTTTGAGAGAAGTTCAGTGACATACACACTCACAGAAGAATTATATATATAAAGATAATACTATCCACTTTCGTTATTCCAACACTATACAATTATGTAGTATATTATTGATGTTTCTATATTGATATTAATCAAATCATTACCTTTTCAACAAAGAACTTATCTATCTCCTCTATCCACTTTGCCCTTTAACTTTTATTGACAATAGTGAGTCTACATGTTAAATAGGAAACCTACAAATAAAAGAAAACTACACATTTATATTAAAATTTATTTATAACTTAAATATTATATCACAGTCTTCTACAGTCATTTACTTAAGATCTCTTGAATTTCCAACATGCTCTTTCCTTTGGTCTCAGGAACAAATATAGCACTGAACAAGCAGGCGAAGACGCTGGCACCGGCGAAGATCCAAAAAGTCACGCTGGGTCCCCAAGCAGGCAACATATAGCCAAACGCAGCCGTTATACCGAAACCAAAAACCCACCCTATAGTTACAGTGAAGGTGGAACTGAATCCTCTGCAGTTGTCAGTAAACATTTCACCAATAAACGCGTTGGGGATGATGCCAAAACCTGCAAAATAAATGAAATCGGACAACATCAAAAGGCTATAGTGCCAACTGCTGAGCAGACAAAAACAATATTGTTAACTCTTGTCTAATCAGACAATCCACTTATGAATCTCCTCAAGGCAAAAAGAAAACTTCTGAGTTAAACTAAATCATACTTCCATCTTTATAAATATCAAGTTGAAATATTCAGTTTAATCAAACGTACCACTGAAATAAGCGATGAAGTACAGCACTACTGATGCCAGTGCCATCCATTGTAGGTCGTCAGCGATGTCGTAATCATTGTCGAAAAGGAAGAAATAAGCACCAAGGGCAAACTGAAAAAGACATAAATCGATTAGCAGCAAGCCACAAAGTAACTGACATACATGAAATAGATACAAACAATAATATTGTAATAGAAGTTATGTGTGCGAAAGATAGAACTAATTTATATAAAGAATACAATAGTATTAAAATTAGTGCTGAACATATTATCCAAAAAAATGTCATAACAGAAAAGGTACTATTAAATAGACATGATCATGACCTTACCAAGCTTATAGAACAGACTGCAGTAGAAATTAACAAAAGAATCCTCCGTCCAGTCCTATCTACAAATAGAGGTGCAATACTCGCTGCACCAACCTGTGTGACTCCAACAATTATGGTAGATATATGGGACTCCATAGACGACCCAGTCATTTCGAAAATAGTCGTAGAAAAAGATAACACTATATTAATTCCACTCAGTTGTTGCATAATGTTTAATGTAATAATCAAAAATAGTGCTTTCTGATTCGACTTTATAGTGAACATCTCAGCCATCTGAGCTTTGTATGAAATTGGTTTTTCATTTGCTTTAGCCACTACATCATCTATGTCATCTTTTCTGCCCAGCGATGTGAGGAGATCCATTGCTTCGTCTCTTCTATCTAAAAAAGCATTTGGATATCAATATTAAATATTGATCATAGCGCTTGCTTTATATATTTTTATTTTTCATTTTATTTTATTTAGGAAACAAACAGTCAACAATATAAAAAATCTTACATAAGAAAACAATAGGTTGAAAAGGACCTCGAGTTCCATACAATTTTAATTAATCGAATGGATATTAGAGACTGTCAAGCATGTTGTTGTTGTTGTTGCATACTTTCAGTTTCTAAAACACATATTTTTTATTCGTTTTCTATTCCAAAATATTATAAAAGTATTGCTAGACATGGTTAAACTTACTTGCCATAACAAGATAAACAGCAGTTTCAGGGACAATGAAGAATACTCCAATGATGTAAGCAACAGCAATGCCCGATGCTATCCATGATATTGCAGCGTACGACACAAATGGTCCAACGGAGTAGGCAATGAGAGTACCACAAGTACTTGAGAATCCTGTTAGAGTGAGAAGAGTGCCACGGTTTCGTATTGATCTGGAAGATTAGGAGGGTGTTCTTAGGCAGGTAAGTATTATAGCAGTTCTATTCTGACAATTCTTCAGGTTCTTACTGACAGTCTGATGGGTACCATCAAGAAAAGAGGAGACAAAGAAGAAATTAGATCAGTTATAAAATGAGCCAAAATGAACAATCAATATTTTTTTAATTTTAATTGAAATCTATGTTGTGTTATGTTATTGCTGACTAATTTATTTTCTGTTCAGGAAAAATATTCATGTACAATATTAATTTGTAGATACTTACGCCAACTCACCAAGATACACGAGATTTGTGACGAATAGCACTCCAGTACCGAAGCCCACGACTGCCCTACCAACATACATGACAGCTATATGTTTGGCTAATGCCAAGATCATGAATCCAAGACCTAGGAATACGCCACCAAAGTACAGACAGGGTTTCCTTCCAACTGCATTACATAGGTACCCGGAGACGTAGGGACCTGAAAATATGTTGAAGAAATTAAGTGATTCATTTAAACTAATTTTACTATATAATCCCTTTCTCCTTTTACCTCCACATCCTCGCCAAACACATCACACATGACAGATATGGGCTTACTCTGAATCTTCTCTTTAAAATATCTAACTTTTTTGGTCATTTCGTCATGAAAATTAGAATTTTCTTACCGGTAAGGAATCCAACAAAACTGGACGACGCAATCCAGGATGCTTGTTCAACAGTTATCGGAGTATCCAATATGGTTTGCTCTGGATTCTGCAGTGAAGCTAGTACAGGAGCTGGCCATCCTAATCCATAGCCACACATTAACTGACCTATGTATACTGAAAATAATAAAAAAATAGTAAAGACTACATTTTCCTTATACAATTTACGTTTCTATTTCACTCCCTTTTTTTAAGCAGAAGTTTGATAATTTATTCTAATCATACCAAATGAATGCAATCATATAGATAGTGTGATAAGGTTAAAAAATAATGTAATTTAATATTATCATTTGTTTTTTTTTTAATAAAGGTTGCCCCACACTAGGATTTCCTCCTGTGCCAGGGGTGCGTTTACCAAGATACAAGTTCACATACACATATCACTCAGACCCGAAACAACTGTTTGTGGATCTTACAAAGAGTTGCTCCGTGCAGGAATCGAACACGCTACACGTTACGCGGCAGTCAGTTGCCCTGCCACTGCATAAGGTTAATCGGTTGGTAGAGAAATAGAGAGTGAATAACAAGGAAAGAAATGAAAGAGAGAGTGAGAGAAAGGAGATAAAATTGAGAGGTATTAAGACATAAATAGATAGAGAGCGAGGAAGAAATTTAAAGAGAGATTGAGATTAGAAAAGTGGTTAGAGAGGTTAAGTGTATGAAAGATTATTGGAAATTGAATAAGAGAGAGTTAGAGCCGAGACTAGTAATAAGGAGAGAGCAGGTAGTGGAAATAAAAGATGCATATTGAGAGCGATAAACAAATTGAGAGTGGGATAGATTAGAAGAGAGAGAGAGAGAGAGAGAAAAGGAGAACGAGAGTGATCAGTAATAGGAAAGAGATTGAAACCGGAAGAGAGATTGAGAGTGGAAAAGAGATTGAGAGTGAAAAAGAGATTAAAAGACTGTAATTGTTGGCCAGTACACTGCCAACCATGGTCAATCAATAATAAATAAATATCAAACTAAAAAAAAACTTACAGCAACTCGCAATCAAGAATTGTCTTCCAATACCAACTTCGGCACCCATTTTTGAAATATCACAGTTATTTTACCGCACTTTATATAAAAGTTTTCGGTAATATTATTAAACGTAATATGCTTAAACTAAATAAATTTTATCTAAATAATTTATTTTCGCGTGTATTATATTCCACGTTAAAGTGGACTATATGGTTTATCAGTATTTTTTCGTTTATTTATATTTTGATCGAAAATCATTGTATGAAATCTGTGTTGATAGAAGGTTTTAGGGTTAGGTGGTATCGTAATCATACCTTAATCTGTTTTGCAAGTCATTATTGTGAAATGTGGTGGTAATATTATTCGTTTCTTTTTAAAAACATTGGCCCACACTAGGATTTTCTCCCGTGTCGTGGGTGCATTTACAACACATGACGCCTATACCCGGAACAACAATCTGTGGATCACACAAAGAATTGTTCCGTGCGGGAATCGAACCCGCGACACGTTACGCGGCAGCCAGTTGCCCAGCCACCTCGCCAACTGTGCAGTCACATTGTTTATTATTTTTCAGAGTTACCTCGTTTGTCAAGTGTATTTCGTCAGGACAGATACAGGTATGAGCCACACAAGAGTATAGAGACTTACAGTAGTGTATCATTCAATTGTTACTTGCTGATGTAAGTGTGAGTTTCTCTGTTCGTTGATTAAAAACTTTGCTAGGCTATGGAATATAGCATATGGGCTATACAAGCCATGAAGGCCTCTAGCCGAAAGACATCATAACCCAATACAAGGTCGTTGAAAAAAGGCAAACGTAATGTCACTTAGAAATGATTGAAGTGCCAAAATGTCTGTGCCGTATATTTATGTGTGCGTGTACTTGCAACACCGTAATGACGGGCCATGCCACCCGACAGATGTCCTTTGTGTCAATGTGTGTGTATTCTGCGTGTAAGTCTATAGTAGCCAGGTGCCACAGTCGTCGTTTCAAGAGACGATGGTCCACCCTTTTTTCAACGTCCTTGGACCCAATATGAAATTCCTGTAAGAGCGTCAGACGGACAAAGAAGTTTTTATTATACGTATGTAAATAAATAGAGGATCCTGTAATTAAATTATTTTGAAGTTTAAAAAGGTTTAAGACATATTGATAAATAATTTACTTATAAAGTTTAACAAAAAAGACATGTAAAATAGCATGAGTTAGCTATTCTATAGTAAAAATGAATACGGAACCTGTTCAAGGCCTATTACTTTTATGAGGATTATAATTATGATTGTGGACGAATGATACCCCGCGATGATATACTAAATATGAATGTTTATTTGTAAACCTGGACCTATGCACATCGGTACAGATAATGTCAGTAAGTTACGACAATATGGCGATTACTTAGGAAAAACGTTTCGAGAATAATCCGGCTGTTTCTGACAATGTGCAAAAATTCTAACACCGAATATAAAGTTTAAACTGTGATTAGATCCGATTCCCAAAGAGTCATAAACTCATAATAGTCCAATAGTAAAGGACACCAAGCCTGATCAAGGAAGGTCCTCCGGTTTTGTAATCTTAGGCGTATGACACGTCGCAACCCCCGCGCGCCTCTAAGAGCCATCAGATCACCGCAGATCGGGCCCAGTAGGACTGATGCCCGATCCAGACCTGCGGAAGATTTAACGAGTTACTGGGGCTCCGGTTAGAAGAGCAGGAGTAGAAACTCTTACTGATTTCTAAAGATGGCGATCTTGACGTCATGTGGAACCAGTCTTAATGGTACACATGTGCTCTATCATCATCCCTTATCATTGTTCCAGTGAAATATGTCTGCATATGCGACCTTGATCCTTGCAAATTTATAATCAGTGTCGCGTCGAGCAGGACGGCTCTGTGTGGTAATATCTAGAGTCTGGCAAACGAAAGTAGAGACTGAAAAAGCCCGGCAAATTTAAAAAATATCAGTATAGCAAATCAAAAATTAGTATGTCATACCTGGGGTGGACCGTCCCGTCCCGTCACCGTCCCGTCCCGTCACCGTCCCGTCCCGCCGCGTCGCGCCCTCTGTGTGCAGATCCCTTCAGTCTAGTAAAAGTGAACAAAGAAGGATTCTTCGATTAATGTTCAATAACAATAAGAGCTTGTGTTTATTTTGCTAGCTTTTCTTTTCCATTGTTTGCCGAGTGGTCGCAAGTGCGACTGCCGTGCAAGGTGTTTCAGGTTCGATTCCTGGTTCAAGCAAAGTATTACCGAGTGTTTTAAAATTCTCTGTGGTAGCACGGAGTCTGGAAATGTGCCTAGTAATAGTAATAGTAATATGGCAATAGACTCACCCCCTATTACATTGGACTTAGAACATAAATAGTGAAACGTGGGTGTTACATTGTACAGTGGCATTAAGTGTCGTAATGTGCACCTCTGCCTATCCCTTCGGTGATAAAAGGCGTGGTTTTATGTTATGTTTTGTCTTTTTTAAGGGGTATATTTTAATACCTGCGTAAAATGACAAAAAATATAGGCAATAACGTTATTTCTTAAAAACAAATCTGTTTTAAAGATTATCTTTGGTGATAAAATGCCTAGATCAAGTCAAGATACTATTTAGAGGTATTAAAAAAAAGACTTTCATAGTCATAGTTTCATGATATTATATACATAATTGTAGTTATACGGCTTATCACGTAACATTTTGTAACTCGACTAGTTTCGAGCAACGGTAGAGGCTCATAGTCAAGAGCAACATCGCGCTACAAACGACGAATATCGCATGGCCAACCCACGAGTAAACTGATATGTATGAGCTTCTAGCTATCTATCTACTTATAATATAGCAAATGTACAGCTGTTCTAGCACACAGTGTACAAATTGAGTTACAAGAAACCAGCTTATCATGGTCTTACATTCTATGATCTTTCCCTACTTTCCGCAACCAGTTAATACTGGTTTCGTTTAGTTTGATGTGTACCAAATCAGGTACGTATATTACTGCAAAAAAACGACAATGACAATGCTTTTAATACTTCACGCATAACATATGATCGCCACGATATGACGACAATATGTCGATGATTATATACTTACAAATATTTTTATCGCGAATATTTCAAACATACCTATACCTACTTGTCATTTATTCTGTCGTAGATTCTTATCATGGAACCTAAGTTTTACACCCGTGCTCTCTTGCATAATACTGATATGACCTTCAAACCACCAAGAAAGGAGCGTATACCTGGCCACAGTAAGCGCGGGCCTGCGGACGGCGAGTATGGCTGGCTCGCCGCCCGACCAGAACCAGACCCGAGCGTACGGCGCCGAGCGTTCCGCGCGCGCCTCAAAGAGCCATCAGACCACCACAGATGGGGCCCAATAGGGCTGATGCCGATACGGAGCCGCGGAGGACCTAACGGGTTACCGGGGCTCTGACTCGAAGTGCATAAGTAGGAACGGGGTGGTTTTTAGTAAGTAAGAGTCTGACACTCCCTCCCGCCTCACCCAGGCGGGAGCAGTCATTCGATGATTTCCCCCCTTAAAAAAAGCTTTTTAAAAGGCCGGCAACACACCTCTGGTTTTGCGGATGTCTATGGGCGTCGCTGATCACTTCCCATCAGGTAATCTGTCTGCTCGTTTATCTCCTATTCCATAAAAAAAAATTTTAGACAGTTTTTTCGATTGACATCAAATTGTAACATGCTTGTAAGCATAAGACAGTGGCGTGCAGTCCATATAGGCAAATAGGCTTTGCTTGACATAAAATGTACTAACGCGTTTATTAAGATTCAATAATATAATAAAAGTTTGTAAAAAAACGGCTAACATAAATATACATTCACATATACTATACACGGACCGCACGCCTTTGTAAAGCAATGAATGCGCGCCGCACGCACCACGCATGCGCTGCTATTCCTTAAATCTTGGTTGTTGGTTGTGACGTCACAAAAAGTATGCAACGCGCATGCGTGAAGGTCACGTGACTATGGTCACAGCACAGAATAACCATTCATAAACGCAAAAAATTATTACACGATTCAATCTAGCCGGACTTTAAATTTGTGAATCTGCGCCATCTATTGAATTTTTTGTTAAAACTTCTGAATAAATATAATGCGAATGTCTTTTTTATAATTATGCATACTAAAAAAATATGTTTCAGGTGTTTTAATTAAATCTTAACATTTTTACGCGTTGTCGCTTTATAGAAACTTTAAACGAGGAGTTGACTTTATTATTTTAAAAGTTAAAAGGAAGTTATCGAAACGTCAAGTTGCCGCTACTCAAAGTTTCAAATTATTATCAACCAATGTTTCTTATTGGAAAATAATAATAAGACAATGATGCAATTCCATTTGACTTATGTAAATTAACGTTTTGTTTTTTTATAATTAAACACTGGGTTGCTTTAATGTTTTAGCTATAATTTTTTTATAATAAACACTCAATTGACTACGATGGGTAATGACTTTAAAATGTTTTCGGCCATATTGTTTTCATGAGATGTGCGATCGCTTTGTTTATGTTTTCGTTTAAATTATAAGGAATTAGTTTTAAACATAAAGTTGCATAAATATGTGTAGAAGTATTAAAATATATGTGTCGGTTTTTCAAATAGTGTATTTGTTTATCAATGTCTAGTATATTATTCGATTGTGAAGTTTGTGTTGATAATAGGTAATTTTTGTGTTTGTTTAAAGTTAAAAACAGTAAGTTTTCGCAAAAATGTGTCCTATAACGACTAGATTCAGGTAATGACCATAGGCAGAACTCAAGTTACGAGAATTGACCCAAGTCAAAGGTAGGTAATGTAAATATGTAGGTACTATAATGGATCTTTTATATGATGTTCTTGTTTATTGATTGATAATTCTTAAAAATATCAACTTATACCTCGGGTTGTTTTGATTTACATATTAATTTATTATTAATAATTATGTAATGTAATAACAAATGTACCGCTTATACTCGGCTCGGCCACAGCCGGCCGCGCTTGTTGTTGTTTTGTTTGTTGGTAGGTATCTACGTTCTTAAATTCGTAATTATGATTTTAAATAGATTATTTAGCAATTTGATAATTGAAATTGGTTCATCAAATTTATGATTCATTATTAGTATAATAAATAGATGCTTCATTATTTGTAAGTTTTGTTGGCTTATTCGATAGCTGATGAAGTACTTTACAAAAAATACGCGAGATG